CGGATCGAAGATCGGATCACTCGGAGCGAATCGGCGCAAGCTACCAGCCGACTGAGTACCTATCGGCGGTACCTGAGGGCATGAGAGGACTCTGCTATGTGGGAAAGCGATGTGGGAAGAGGCCTGAGTAGGTAGACTTGTAGTCCGAGACCTACGAGTAGCCGACGCTGACGATTATCCACCAGATGGCCGATGGAGAGGAAACATCGACAGCGAAATGTGCATTAGAATGGGTAAATAGGTTGAGGGGTTTCAGCGGGCTTAGGAGTTTGGGTTACGGACTTAGGAGTTAAATGTTCTTGGTTGTTTCTCAGGGTCTCAGGCAGGCCCCGAGTGTATTCTGTATTATTAGGAGACTGGGTCCTCGAGACATAAGCGAGGGATATAAATACTGTGTCATTCACTGACTAGCCAAACCATCATCGGCGAAATCAGAGTCTTAACAATATAAATCGTTGATACGCGAGTTACAACTCTATTTGACTATACTATTCGAAATACTTTACTCTATCGTGACTTCGTACTCTACCTGAACTATTACGTCGAAGAGGGTCGATTACCATCCGCTAACTCTAGTGAATCTTTGTTGATAACGTAGCTCGCGGCGCCCATATCGGATCAAGGAGATTCATACTCGACGTTGACTGAAGAGACCTTGGAGACTTCTACCTTTGTAGCTGTTAGCCGAACTCTGAGCTCTGCGTAGTGTACTCTTGTGGTCTGGTACGCATCCCTCACACATAGTCTGTCAGAAGATGTCCCGAGACGTGACACCCTGGAAGGGGGGTAAGCTGTTACGGCATGTCAAGCATTTACGGGAGTGAGAGAAAGGCTAGTAGATAACCCCGATACCCTCTGATACTAATAGGAACACCACTATCAACTCTGGTTCGCACCCACGAGGTGAGGTGCGATTGATATGCGACCAATCGCGAAGTTGCGGTTTTCCTAGTTAAAAAACATGTTTTCGACCCCAATAATAATCCACGGAGCATCAAACCGCCGGAATGGACTGCTTTTGGACCGGTGGAGATATGAGGGACAGCTGGGAGCAATCGGATCGAAGATCGGATCACTCGGAGCGGATCGGCGCAAGCTACCAGCGGACTGAGTACCTTTTGGCGGTACCTGTAGGCATGAGAGGACTATGCTATGTGGGAAAGCGATACGGGAAGAGTACTGATTAGGTAGTCTTGCCGCCCAGTATGTGTGAGTAGTCGATACTGAAGATTATCCACCAGATGACTCGATGAAGAGGAAACGTCGAAGGGAACGTGTATGAGAATGGTTGAGTGGTTGAGGGGTTTCAGCGGACTTAGGAGTTTGGGTTACGGACTTAGGAGTTAAATGTTCTTGGTTGTTTTTCAGGGTCTCGGGCAGGCTCCGAGTGTATTCTGTGCCATTAGTAGACTGAGTCCTCGAGACATACCCGAGGGATGTAAATACTGTGTCATTCACTGACTAGCCAAACCATCATCGGCGCAATCAGAGTCTTAACAATATAAATCGTTGATACGCGAGTTACAACTCTATTTGACTATACTATTCGATATACTTTACTCTATCGTGACTTCGTACTCTACTTGAATTATTACGTCGAAGACGGTCGATTACCAACCGCTAACTCTAGCGAATCTTTTTTGATAACGTAGCTCGCGGGGCCCGTATCGGACCAAGGAGAATTCTACTCAAAGTTGACTGAAGAGACCTTGGAGACTTCTACCTTTGTAGCTGTTAGCCGAACTCTGAGCTCTGCGTAGTGTACTCTTGTGGTCTGGTACGCATCCCTCACAGTAGCCGTGGTATTGTTTCCCGGACCGAGGAAAGGCTTCACCGGAACTTAGTAAGGAGTTAGGAGCAGAGAATAAAAGTGTTCGGAGTATAAGTACTCAGGCTCATTCTCGGCCTTCAGTCCTATTCTCCCCAGTCTTCATCAGAAAGAAAACCAAATTCTTATCGGTAGCAGAGCCCTTAAAGATTATTGAGTTCTAGCGATAGTATCTTTGAATAATCTGCAACCTGATTGTTTATCTTGCATGGCCGTCTCTATTCTATCTTATTCTATTTTTCTTAGAAGAGACCCCCGTTACGTCTTGGGCTTTATATGTCAATACTGTGCGTACGTGCGCAGCAAGCGGCCCGACATGTCGTAACCCCCCATGACAGCCAATCTTCCAATATGGCCCAGAACATTGCATTAGGAGTCGCCATGGCAAGGCCCAGTCCACCTGAGCTAGGGTGATTTTTCAATAATGCCCTACCGGAGGTGTAGCCTAATTTACACACTGGCCTGTTATACCCCCAAGAATATTGGGGGACCATGAAGTAGGGGCTGAATGGCGGATATGTCAGGCCTAACCGCCCAGCTACAGAATCATAAACTATCACTCGCACTGGCTCCCCGACTACTCCCCTACCGGAGTTTTTTTTTTTTTAATTCATTAATTGTATTCCCCTACCGGAGTTGTAGAATCAGTCAGAGGCAAGGACGGTGTGTTTCCATATCAACCGGAAGAAGCTGAAAAAGGGCCTGAATGGTAGATTTTCTATCCGGTGAGACCTAGCGCTAGCTGCTCGGATGCCTAATCATAACCTCGTGTCCCCTACCCCTGGTATACCCATCCTGCCCGTCAGGCTGGGTTCCGGAGGCCCTCCCCAGTCGCCTCCTCAAATGAGGGCAGCTGTAATCTCTTCAGAATCGCCATAAACTCCGGGTATGAGAGATTATTATTGATATTGTATGCCTTATCATGAACCATCACTCGCATTGTCCGCTGGGTTTTGGATGTTCTCTTGAGTCCCTTGCACGAATGAGTGCAGCGGTAACCACTTGAACGTCGCCGTAGCCCCATGGTTGCATGCAGGTGTGGGGAGTCGTTCCTAGTAGTGCGTGCTTAACCATGGGGTATCACTCGCAATTGCCTCCACCGGCTTTTTTTCTTTCTTTTTTTTAATTCATTAATTTGCTTCCACCGCCGCCATGAGAGAAAAGCGTGTTGATTCTAATCTCGTCAAAGAACCTAACTAGCTTTACCGCCACAGATCGGAAAGCTATTCATAGACCGGTACCGTCGACATGACAAGCCGTGAGGACCACGAGACGTGCGGTATCCAGCTAAGATTCAGCTTGAGCTAATAGCTCAAGCCTCACAATTGAAGAAGGTCACAAGCCCAGGCTGGCTCGGGTCCGTTTGATGCGCGACCTGAGCCGGCTTGAGACGTTGATGTATCAATCTAATTAGTATATAGCTATAACGAGTATGCAATGTGTATTTTAAAAGTTTTGATTGGCTGTGTTTTGGATGTTTCTTTTTCTCGAGCTATTGATTAGGGTGAGTCAGCTAAAAAGAAAGGTTATGTTGGAGGTTTTGTTAGGTTACCGTTTCTTTTGGTTGTTATTGAATTATGCTACTCAGTGATTGTGATATGTTTTGTGATTTTGATATCGTTTGGAATTGTTCTGTGATACTGTGATTGTGATATATCAACGGTGTACCACTTTAGCAGAGCAGCGCAGAGGCAGTACTTACACCTCTCCGGTGACACTGATCTTCATTATTCTGTATTTCATTATCCTCACCGGCCAAAGGCCAGAACCGCCTTGTATTTAATATATCTATGCTAAGGTTTCACGCGGTCTTGCCCGTCCTTGCCCGTCTTTGGCCGTCCTAATTCTAAACTATATACTCGTCCTCATCCTTCCCAGGGGCGCCTTCAATTAATTACAGGTTACGAATCATCAGACAAAGAACAACTACCGAGATGGAAGAAATTGGAATTAAAAAGCGTGTAGTCATTACCATTGATGAATGTAAAAGAGCAAACACCGACCGAACCACAGCTATATTTTATATCTCAACTTCGAGTTTCCCCGATAGTCTTTCGTCAGCTGCGTGCTGCGAAGTCGGCGAGCGAGGAGGGGTCGGGTACCACTGCATTGGGGGAACTGGCTTAGAGTCCATTTCTTCAACACATAGTTATGAGTACATACATACTTGAGCTAAAGAGATTTCGCTGTTAGTCGTCGAGGAGGGGACTGGGAATAGTTGTATGGGTAGCCAAAATAAATTACGACAAATACTCTTTCAGTTCGATACAAGCTCAAGACAAGCTCGAGACTTGAGCTTTTCACGGGCCGGACAAGCGTTTCCCTTTCAATCTCAAGCCGGCTCATGGACAACACTAATGACAGGACAGGTCTCGACATGACAGGTTCGCACAGCTCACATGTACGAGTTTGTCATCCTTTGACAAGCCAAGTACCCAACAGGCCTTCACCTCCAGCTCTCGATCCTCATCCCAGAACATTCCCGGCTTGGCAAGCGCCCCTTGATCGGCGTCGTCGTGCCCCCGCCCCCGGCGGCGCATACCCTAGCCGCAAAGACGTAGCAAAGCTGTTAGACGACTAGGTGCGGTCCTTAGGGCGTGCTACCGGAGGTAGGCGCGGTAATGTGGTGCGTTGGGCCGAATAGTATCCCGCCTCGGGAGATCTGGTGATCTGGGTGGGAGGGTTAGTGGTGGTGTGGAGGAAAGGAAGTGAGGAAAGCAGTGTTTCCGTTATCCAGGTGTCAAGAGCACCTTCACCACCCGCCGAAAAAGCGCCGCCAGTGTAGCACTGCGCCTATACTACGGAAAGACGCGCGCGACGTTGAGCCCCGTCCGGATGCTATATGCTGTCGTGCAGGTAGCAGCACCACCGCACAGTATGCGGTCCCCTCGTCGAGAACTCCTCCGGCAATAGCGGCGGCGGCGCTTGCTGAGGGGAGGGAGAAGGGGGGGGGGGGGTTTTGCTGGCGGATGCGGACGCGGATGCGGTGCAGGCTTGGCACTAAGAAGGTTACATACGGTCCTGTGCCACATGGTTTCCTTAGCGAACCAGATCCCTCCACAGAGCCTCTTTCTCGTATCACCGAGTACCAGCTCCACCACCTTCCCCCCCCTCCCTAGCTTCACTACCTGCCTGCTTAGGCTCGCACCTAGCCCTCCCACTTGCTGCTAGTATGGGATCAGCACGAGACTGCTGGCTACCACTACCCAGGTTGATGTTTGACAGGTTATCGCTTGGGTGGATGAGTATGTCATTTTTTTCGCTTAACCGGTTAAGCAAACACTGCAAGGTTCAAGCAGGTACCTAAGTCGCCCAACTCATACAAGAGTTCTGAACTGATGGAAGAAGTGTATTCAAACTGTCGCGTCACGCAATACCCGACTAGATCGACTACTTTTTCTTATACGACATTACAACCGAAATGTATGTTCTTTACACCCCCTCCCTCTCCTCCAACCCACCACCAACTTACATACTTATTCAGTCAGCCAGATTCTCGAGAAACAGTTACACCATAGGTCGTGGACGGTCCTGCGGACGAAATCCCGCATCGAGAACATGATCTTGTAACATTATCGACTACCTGGCTTTGAGAACGACTCGAGGGACGCCGTCGGCTGCTGGATTCATAGTAGGCAGGGTACCTCGCCCTTCAAGCAAGGCCGATCGTTTCTTTCACGCTAAGCTGAGTGAGCGCCCCTATCTCGTGTCTTCTTTTCTTGTAGGATATCATATGATCTGCGGGTCCGTATGGTGTTGAGGGTGCGCCTAGCCCGGCACCAGTCCCATCGGGGCATCACATGATCTGTGGGTCCGGATGGTGTTAAGGGTGCGCCTAGCCCGTGGGATCTTCCTTCACCCCTAACCTCACGTCACGCTACCCCAATGAGAAGAACGCGATAAAGGGCGCGCTAGGGATTTCTTCGGCAATCGAAAGTAGCCTGAACACGCCGGGTCACCATCCAGAATCTTAGCAATGTCAATAAGTGCTCTTTCAGCATCAAAGCTCCGGAAGAACAAGACACTACCACTGGTACCACACCGCAGAAAGCCCGGAAAAGATGAGAGTAGGCAAAGGAGCGTTTTGAGTTGAAAGCATATGTACTTTAAGTTGAACAATATGTGATTTATTGAAAACCCTTGCCATAGCGAATAAAAATTTGCGATATAATGAGATGAGATCAAAAGCAGCCAGCAGGATTTGCAATTTGTATATATACTCGGGTTCAAAGAACGACGGGTGTTCTCCCAACCGGCAGCTTGCACCAAGAAGGTTGCTCAATAGGCTACCAAAACAATGGTTCACGGTAAACACCCATGGATACATATAAATTGTAGGTAAGTGCGATATTCCCATAACTGTAAGGTTGCACGCAATGAATGAATTAAACCAAATAAAATTTATGTATATCTTGTAGGTAGCTTTCGAAAAAGAAACTTATCACATGTCGAAATATGACAGGCGGTTCGCGAACAGACGATTCATATTATCCACCAAATACCGTTCCCCAGTTACAGTGACCGAGGAGCGCGCGGATAATCCCCAGGACAAAGAAATTTCGCCGGGCTGTACGCCTCTAGTACAGGTTGTTGTTATTATTATCCCCGGAGGTAGTAATAGAAATCAACAGTCACCTCCGCTCATCGGTCAACAGTGATCCCGGTGCAATTCAACAGCCATCGCGGTAGAAAGCCAGGAGGGTAAGGTTTGGCTTTAAGTTTTACTCCCAGACAACTCGACCTCGTCTTCAGAGATAGGGAAATCTGGTATTAACAGTACAAAATAAAATTTACGTTTCCGGAAATGACCGAGAGTTAAATATATATGCAATACATCTGAATGGACTGCAAAGGATTATTACTCTCACTCACCTTGTAGCAATATGAAGAGCTCATTGGTGACGGTGCAAAATGACTTATCGACTCACCTGAACCGCATATTCACTGAAACCTCCTCCAACAGTCTGCTACCATAGAGAGGGCATGAGTTTATCTAAAAACCACGACTCATCGGCGGAACGGTCACTAAAAGTAGGTAGACACGTCCACCTTACAGGTGAGAACATATCCGAAGAAGCCATAGTCTTCTAAAACATGGGATGTTGACTTCGTCGGCGGGTGGAATTCGGTGCATAGATTATCACTCGGCCTCTAGCACCAAGCATATACATACATATTATCACTCGGCTCATAACGCCCCATTAATTGATTGTGTCTTTTTTGTCGTTTAACTCTTCGTTCATTGATTGATAACTCATTAATTGTTTCAAACGGCTACTTTGACGGTTTTTGGTATACTAGCATACATATTGAGACCACAATCACCAACTGCCTGAAAATGTCGCAAGGTCCTATATTGTATTATCCGGGAATGGTATGATATTGCGCCAGACGTACCACTCAGGGGCAACTACCAATTATGATTCGAGTTCCGGGAGTCTTATTGCAGGGTCGGAGAATAAAGAAGTAGGGTTTTCACTGCTCAAAATATACGCCATTACAACACTGCTTGATTAACAGGCTTATTTGCCATCATTTCCGTGGGCTTGAATATCTGCCCAGTGACTGTATTATGTCCTGGAATAGGAAATATTAGTAGTATTATAGTAATTTTCGATTGTCTTTTGGCGTACTAGTCGGTGGCATCTATATATATTGTACAAGTTGTGATGAGTATTTCCCCCTCATACATATTTCGGAAAACACTGCGGTCGATTATTTTAAGCGGTCCATGCACATAAGAGCACGTATCTAAAGAAGTGAATACCCTAGTGTGTTATTGATCGGTGGGTTCAGGTGAAAATGTTCAAGGACCTATAGCAATTAATAGGACTATACGGTTGAAAAAAAAAACCCACTTTCCAATGTTTAAGCTCATTCCCGACACTCGCATGTCCAGGAAGTTTTTGAATGAAAATGCTTACCCTTGAAGTCTCCTGGGTGAGCTGATTCAGCCTCGACTTCCTGACTGGACTGGTTGTTTTTGAAGTCGGCTCATCGAGGGAGCAAGTAGCTCACCCAGGAAGCATTGGCGTTGGAACGGGTATTCCTAGAAGCCAGGTTTGCGGAAGGAAGACCTTATGTCTCAAAAAAGCACGTCTTGGGTGTTAATATGACCTTTTCTCAGGATTGCATGACATATATCAGGCTCTATCAGGGTTAAGTACTTCGCAAATATCAAGGCGTGTACCTCTTCACCATTTGCACCCTTTACACACATACATAAACTTTTTCTATCAACACAGTTCTCTACTAGCCTCGTTCCCTCTACTACTACCTTCTACCCCTATCTCTCGTAGTGATCGGCACGAGACAAGTTGTCTCGAGACTAAGTCTCGAGACTTTTTAACAAGACGAGACGAGACGAGACTAGATCCGGAGGTCTAGAGATAGGTCTCGAGACCTTTTTGTCAGGGATCCTCTCGACCTCACATCAACAACCACTGCACCCCCATGCCTCCACACCGCCCCAAGTTCCAACATCCCGATTTCTGCCGCATCATCCTTTAGCTCTCACCCTTGGTCTTCCTCAGAGCCGCCGTCGTCTGCATCTCCCTTACCTTTTGCAGGTCGGGGCCCTGCCACATCACCGGAGGACCCGCCAAACCCCACCCCCGGCCCCCGCGTGGAGATCTCCGCGTTCTTCGCGTTTATCACAGCCTTCCTAGAGGGTGACTACCTCAACCAAAGGACACTCACACTCACCCAGGTCTCCCCTGCCCGGCTAGAAAAGTTTCAGCGCTGGGCTCTGAACCGCAGACTTCATCGGCTACGGTGCGGTCAGAGCCCTGCCGCTGGCGCGGTATGGGCAGCTGTTAAACACGGTGAAGAGGGGCCTTGCGGTAATGAGGAAGGCGACGCAAAAGAGAGACAAGAGGAAGAGGGTGGAGGAGAGATGCGAGGAGGGGGAGGATTATGTGACGGAACATTTTTAGGAGGGGGAGAGGGTGGCGAAGATGATTAGGCTGTTGACAAATTGGGCGGGGAGTAGTCGGAGTGGGGATGTGACGAGTTGAAATAGCGCCGGCGAGGGGAAGGCTTGGCGCGCGTGTGTGTGTGCGGGTTGTGGGGGGGGGGGGGGTGTCGTGGTTTATCATTCTTTTTTCCTCCGATTCCCTTTAGCAGGACTACTGGTTTGGAAGAACATATCTTGTTACGATTATGAGTTATCGTTTTATTTTCTTATGATATTTAGGAGGACTACATGTAGTTGTATGAAAGTTTATCATTACACAATTTGGTTGGCATCTGTTACACACCTTGCTTCACCCTATAGAAAGGGTCGAATTGGGCCCATGATGACGGAAATGTTCTGATATTCCCACCAACGCCTCCCACCCGTCAGGACGCACGAGAAACCCATTATTCGAACAGGATATGCCAATAAAGCCATCCAAATTCCGCTCTTTCCTCGGGGGTGGCGGAGGGCGGGATTTCCGCGCCAGACGAAGTAAAGACACTAAAACACATCACATAGCTAGGCGGGCGATGCATCAAATTATAACCGTTCGTCAACACCGCCCCAGTCGTTAACCCCCCGTTCCAGGGACATTTTCCCGTCCCCATCCCAGCAGCGTTTCCAGTGGTTTACCCGTTCTTCCAGGTAAACCGGTTTGTTACAACGGTTGTAGACAAACCTCAGTTCAGGTTTGGGAATTCCCGATATTTGGTTAAAAGTTAAAACGTTGTGCATTTGATATGAGTCCCATGTTGGACCTTTTTGACATTAAGACCTTATTGCGTTTTCACTCCCTTGCAATATTATGATTTGACTAAACTTATATCTAGTCAGGCTAATAAAACTTAATACTCTTTATTCGTCGGAAAGGCCTGACGCACGAGTAGGCTTGTCTTTAAAGTTTGCCAGGCTACCCGCCTACCCACGCCATACCTACCTATCTACCCACCTATCGACTACCCATCTATCTACCTACAAGTACCTACCTATCTGCCTACCTGCCTCCCTGCCTACCTACCCGCCTGCCTGCCCGTCCTCCTGCCTGCCTTCCTATCAAACAAATTCGCTGAATTCGCTTGGTTATGTTAGATATGGTGCTGCATTCCTAGGTAGATTTACTGTGTTAGCTGCTAGGCTCTGTGATGGGTTTGCTACTTTATTCGGCGACGGAGCCGCTGGATCTGCTGATGATGGATGGATTTGATGCTGGAATACTTGTATGTGCCAGATCCGCTGATTAATTTGCGAATTAGCCCATGATTTTGATGATTGGGAGATGAGGGGTGTAGATGTGGAGTCTACGGGGGTGATAGAGGGAATGGTGGTGTTAGAGTGTGTAGAGGAACGATACAAGATCACGGCTTGATATTTTCCAAGTGCCTACTTGTAACCAAAACCCATGAAATCTCCTTTTTTACCGCCTAGTCCCCGCTAGACCAGGGCAATTTCCCTAATTCCTATGTGCTTTTTGAGCCTATTGCCGGAAAACGCCTCGATAAAACGTGATCTGAAGAAAATAACGAGCAAATGTCAGGCTTTTGCCAAAAACAGACAAATTTTGACCTTTTTGAGAAACAAGGCTAAACAAATCCTTTACTTCGCCTATCAGGCTTATCACTTAAGTTGTTACTTAAAGCTGCCAATATGGGACATCGTAACATCAGGCGAGCCTCGCACGAAAGCCAAACAGTTGAGGTATCATAAGGGATACAAATACCAGTTCCGCCCATACAGCATTCGCGGAAAGACATCCTGAAAGGCATCATGAGCGGAAAGGAACCAGGAAGCGAATAACTTTGATGAATTATCGATGCATATTCAGCAGTCCCCGATAGTTAACACATCGATCGGTGACTTTTCCACGAGAACTTTGGCTGTAGTATACACTAACTGTTACATTTCTAGTGCTATTAGAGATAGATACGCTGCCTATAGATGAAGATAGGAACCACCTCCACCACCATGCGGAGGTACTTGGTGCTGGGGTTGCTTGTGCAGTAGGTAGGATAGGAGCTTGCTTTAACGTTAATATTGCGACACGTTCGCCATATCCTATTTCCAGAGGTTCGTGAAACGGACAAAACATCCGGGGGTGGAGGGGCAAGGCGTCGTTTACGGTGTATGTGATGAGACCGCGGAGGTGTGTTTTGGTTGTGGTGACAAGCCTTCCCACGCCACTCGAGCGCCTGAGGGAAGAAGAGGGCATGCTAGAAGGAAAAAGTATGTAAAAGGCAAGGACTTTTTAACACCACCCCGAGACTGTGTTTACGGCACTCTGCTACGGAATTGTACCCATGCGCACCAGCACACAACTACACTCACCGCAACCTACCACCGCAACGCCCTACCATTCCCAGCGTAGCAACCTATCACTCCGACATAAAATTTCTCCGGACGGGCCCGTCTCACTAACTCCCCTGGCGGTCTACGAGCTCGAAAGAAACACATCTCGTTGTGTCTTGGCTTCAATACCTGCTTGTCACAGCCTCCTAGCGGATCAAACGGGGAAGCTCTCCCGTACCCGCTTAATTAATGAAGTAATCAATCCCCCGCTCCCGCATATATTCCGACCAGACAACTCTCCCCTGGAGAATAAACCGGCCCACTCACCCCCGGTTGCAAAAGTGAAGATGTTACAGATATTGGGACAGAGGCACCCCCGAGTGCTTGAGATGCAGGAAAAAGTTCAAGAATGGAACAGGACAAGCGACGAGGTATACACCCTTCGGGGATGGGCATAGTATAAAGATAGCGAAGAAGTCCCAGTATTGGTTGGGGCAGCACATGAAAAAGGCATTCAACTTGCCCCGTTAGACGAAATGACTGGGAGATACGAAAATAAGGTAACGATGGGACGGGGACTCTTCAGATACGAAGAAGACTATGATGCAATGTACAGTAGCTATGAGGGAAAGGATACACTTGGCCTGAGGGACAAAGGGGGGAAAAGAGAGACGAGACGAATTTATTTTAGATAGTTACTTTTCTTTATTTTTATTTTTGTTATTTGATTTTGTAGGTGGTGGTGGAGGCAGATGGGTAGTTCTGGGGTGGTGTGATATTGCCATAAACTACGGTTTGCATGCAATTAATGAATTAAACAAAAAAAAAAAAATTTCCCCGCACCCGCTGCGAGGGCGAGTGATACTTTTTGACCGAGTGATATTCCATGATATCACTTCCAGCGAGGAGTCGCGGATCTCTACCACACCCACAGGACCTTTATTGTTCTATCGTACAAATTTAACTATGGTTCTTGAGCTACGTATCATGCCCGCTCCTCATACCAGATTGTCGCCGCTCGATTACACTGGCCGCCAGCAAGCCGGGAGCAGCCGCACAAGTGCCAGCTATCGCTGCTACCGTGCCGCGGCCATACCGCCGCCACGCCGCCGCCATGCGGCCTACGTACCAAGCCAGCGCTTCTATCAATATTTTCTATTGCACCACAGCACCTGGTATGGACTTGATGTCGCGGGTGGCTCGCAGCTTGCTTGGGTAGAGTATGGAATTGGGGGCACTGACCCGACTCAGATTTGATGATCGAGTGATTTGTAAGCACTGTCTCGACATTGCAATTGAGAAGCCCGATGCGGCTGACTGCGGCGGGTGGGTGCGTCCCCCTTTCGTTTAAACAGTCGCTTATTCCATAAACCGTCGACGCCTGCGAAAAATACTAAGAGGGCAGACTGCACCATCCCGGATCTCGCAAACAAAGTAATGATTATGTATGTCTCAATTAGCCCCTAAATTCCCCTGTCTTGGGCGTATTCGTTACCGTTGCTCAGGATTACAGCTATATTCGGCCCTATTAAGGAAGATATTATAGACTCGAGCCTGGCTCGAGCCCTTGATTTTTTCACGAGCAAGCCGAGCTGAGCCTAAGATATGACAAGTTCCCTCGAGTCTGATCATAAAACTAGCTCGAGACGGTATTAGTCTGGTCATGCAGAATGTGAAACAACAAAGTTTTACAAAATGAGAATATCATTCCTCATTTATTTAACCTGCTTCTGAGCTCATCGCAGTTTCGGAGTTGTAAGTAAGGACTTGGTTACATATGCATGTGGTGAATGGAGAGTATAAATATCATGATGAATATATTACTCTGAATCGGTGACCACGGTATCAACATAGCCGGACTTGTTCTAGCAGGCGAGATCGGGTAAGTCAAGACTTGCTGGGTCAGCCGGTTTTAGCTCAAACTTCCTGACTGGACTGAAGGCCTTCAAACCCGGTTTGTTGAGGAAAAGTTCCGTTCACCCACGAAACTTCCTGGATAAACAATCTTTCCGGTTGAGCCAGCACATGAGCTTTCACTTATCTTCTGCCGGGATGGGTTTGCGAACTCCCTGACAGTCTTCATATGTACGCTATAGTAACTTATTTCTCAATTGCCTAGTCATTTACTGCAAGGTCCATGAATTCCCGTGCTCGTGGGCTGATTTCATAGCGCTTTTGAACACAGCTTGGTCTGCATACCATCAAAACCCAGAGCCTCATGCAGTATTTTGCGGGTATGTACACCTAGTTGTGTTTAAAAACCCTATGAAGTTCCGAGTATAGCCAGAGGTCTCAGTAATCGGGACCGGTCCAAATTCTGCCTTGGACTGGACTGGGCCAACTATCATCAAGCTCGGACTGGACTGACTTGACTATTTAAGCTTCGGACCGGTCCGACCACCAAGTTATACAGTCTATAATATTTCTGCCAACTATCATATCCTTCATCAAAAACCAGTTCTATGGTATGGAAATCCTGTTCCATGATATTGTCATATTAGTTTGATAGTAGAGACTGGGATGTCTTGGGACCGGTGAGGGAGGCGAGGGGCGGTGTTGGGTAAAATCGATTCGGAGTTAATGAGGAGTAAAGCAATAAAACGCCAAAATAAGGAATATCAAAATAAGTAGTCAGACCAGTCTGATTCAAACTATGGACTGAACTCGACCATTAACAGAATAGCTTGGACTGGGCTGGACCGACTATTTATGGACCAGTCCGACTGTTTAACACCGCGGACTTTTGAAACCTCTGAACTGTATAGCTTTGTGAGCCACAGCTTTAACAGGCGATTCATAGCTCCTATGCGGTAGTCGCAGCCTTTCCCTGCAACTTCGGAGCATAAGCCATTAATGGCAATTGTCCAATAGTTTGATATTGCGATTACTGGCTGCTCTCAGTCCGCTCACTCAATTGGGCGTTCAGTCTACTTAGTAAGCTCCGTTTGTTATGTGTGTAACCGTACCATGTTCAAGTGCCACATCATCGCCCCGCGAAGCGATCCCCGCAATAAACTATCTACCACATCAATAAAAAGACACCTACAATAATATCATGCTCAAACGCCAAACGACAGATGAGACACACTCCCCGGCGAGCGATATGAGTATCATGCCCAAACGTCAAAAGATAGGCGAGACACACACTCCGCCAAGTGACAGATTGGCCGCGCCCTCAGAAAAGCCCGGTTTCACATTGAGAATATTAAACATTTCTACGACGATATCTAAAGACCAATTTTTGAAAATCCTCAACAGCCTGCCCAGTGAAACCCCACCGAATGAACAAAACGTGCTGGGGTGGTCGCTTACGCCATCAGCAGTATCTGCTGATGCCTTAGCTAGATCATCCCAAGTGGCGACTGTAACATTCCATTCAGCTCCACCCAGCCTCCGATACTCGCCGGTCTCAAGGACTCTCGATCTGCTTGGAGACACCATTGTAGATTATAATTTTTTCGGTATGACACCCTTAAGTAATCCGGCAAGAGCAGTGGTTGAGTATGTTCTTCTCCCCGATCGATTGAAGGGGATATGACAATAACAAGTGCTTTAGTATTATCGCTATCACTGGCCTAGCAGGGCATGCGTTTGGGTCATGGAAATCACGCAGTACCAACACCATGTGGCTTAGGGATTTGCTCCCAAAGCATGCCCCCAATGCCCGTATCCTGACCTACGGCTATGACTCAACCCTCCTGAATAACAAATCGAATGCTTCCATCCATGAGTTCTCTGAATTATTTTTCCAAGCTCTTGCCACAGTAAGAGCTTCCGAAGAGGTGAGATTAAACCGACCGAATCCTAATATGATGCGTAGCTAACGGTATTTTAGGAGAAATCTCGACCTATTATATTTATCGCTCACAGCCTTGGCGGCCTTGTGATCAAACATGTATGTATTGTTTCTATACCTAAATAGATGCTTGGACGTAAAGGTAATGTATATCAACCTAACTGTATAGGTACTCTGTAACTATCGATCCGTACTAGTATCTTGCGTTGCGCTTCTTCTCTTCGGAGTGCCCCACCATGGCCTTAATGTGGAAGCGCTCATGTCCATGGTGAAGGCTCAACCAAATGCAAAACTACTTGAAGACCTCGATGAGTCATCAAGCTTTCTCAGCCTTCTTGAGCAATTCTGGAAATCACAGAAAACAGGCGGTATCAAGATTATTTCGATATATGAGACAATGCCAACGCCAACTGTCGAGGTAGGACTTCCAAAACCAATTCTCAACGTGGTTCCAAAGATAACACCCTTAAGGAGACGGCACAGGGCTGGAAACGAAGCGGCCGAGAGGCTATGATGGTGAAAAAGCATTCAGCGACCGCCGCTAGTAAAGACCTGGAAGATACTTTCCCCATCGATCGTAACCATTCCGATTTAGTGAAATTTGGGAATCAAGAATGTGAATACTACAAGATTGTTAAGAAAAGGATAGACGACTTGGTCAAAGATGTGCAAGGTTTGAACATCAACCTTTCTACCCGCAATAAAACTTTCTAACTCTACTATGTGTTAAAGAAGGACAATGGGTCTCACTTGAAAGTACGATACATGTCTCAGTCAGCAGGAGTGGCTTCCGCAAATTTATCCAGGAACATTTCTTGAGTTTGCCTAAGCAGCGATCCAACCTTTATTCATGACTACTGGTCTTGACTCATCTTGATGCTGACTCATTATAGAGGTGAAGCGTCAGGAGATTTTGTGCTGGCTTTTGACAATAGAGTTTAAAGATCACCATTCTTTCAATCGCGAACGTCGTCAGCCAGGAAGTGGTAGCTGGCTCTTGGAAAATGATATGTGGAAAAAGTGGGCTAAAGAGGATGAATCGTCAATCCTTTGGCTGCGCGGTGATGGTAACTTTGCCTCACTAATATACATATCGTTCAGGACTAACTTATTTTGCAGCTGGATCCGGCAAAACCATGTTGGCGTGAGTGCTCCTGCTTGACTATTCTCACCGAAGCTTATTTTATAAAGATCCTACGTGATCGACACCTTAAAGGTCGAAGCTGAGAGCAACGATCACATCCTTGCTTACTTTTACTGTGACTACAAGGAGCCGCGGCGCAGAGAACCAGTTCCAATCCTTAATACTATCCTTAAACAGTTTTGCCTCAAGGTACCACCAAACCAAAACAAGATACCGAAACCCATCCTGGATGAATACAGGAAAAGAGAAAATCAAGGTCACGTTTCTGGTGCTCTTAATCTCAATGAATGTAAAGATTTACTTCTCGCATTATCGAACTATTACCTAAAAACCACTATCATCATTGATGCGCTGGACGAGTGTTATTACAACACCCGAGGTGGCCTGCTCAATACCTTGAAATTCATTGTGTCTATGTCTCGGAGCAAAGTGAAGATATTTATCGCCAGTCGATATCACGATGATATTGAGAGAGCCTTCAGTGGAACAATACATTACTACCTCTGTGCAGAGGACAATAAAAAAGACATTGAGAGCTTCATCGAGGAAGAAATCGATCGCCGCTGTGAGCCTGGAAAGCTCAGGGATACTGATCTGCCTTTACTTCTGGGTAAAGTCGTAACTCCAGAGCTTAGGAAGGAGGTTATTTCCACCCTAAAGTCTAGGTCATGCGGAATGTATATCTTCACCTCCCTATATTCCCCTCTCATCTATTAATCATGATATGCGTAGGTTCCTGTGGGCGCAACTACAGATCGTAGCCCTGTGCAAAGAAAGAACGTATAATGGTGTTAGAAAGGCTCTGCAAGAGCTTCCGGAAACATTGACCGAGACATACAATCGCATGCTTCATCCGGACTACAGTGTGCATTCCGATCGAGATCGTCTTCAGCGACAGCACATTCTCAGATTCTTAATGAGCGTCCACACAAAGTGTTCAGCGCAATTACTTGTTCAGAGTCTTGCCATCCAGTTCGGGGGAGAGGAACTTGATGAGGATTTACTATGTCTGGAACGATCAGACATCTTGGCGATCTGCCAGAACTTTGTTGTTTACAACAATGCGCTGAAGACCATGGAGTTCGCTCATTTCTCTGTGAAAGAGTTTTTGCTGAGAGTAGAAGGGTTTGACGATCGTGCCTGCTACAACATGATGGCCGCAATTTGTCTAACCGCATTACTCTTCCACAATCAGAACAAATTGATGCAGGAAATTGTGCATTATGCCACTCTGAACTGGAGCATTTATTTAACGCGCGCCGATTGTTTATCCCGAGTACTTTCCAAGATGTGGAAACAGTTCCTCACTGATTCCGTTCAATACAGAGACTGGCTCCTCAAAATCGGAATTCATACCTCCTGCATTCAGGGTCCCGGAAGTCAGGTGCTATCACCCTTTTGGGTAGCGTGCTACTATAACCTCGTGGATATAGCTAGGGCTATGCTTGAAAATGGGGTTGATGTCAATGAGGTGAGCAGAGACGGCCAAACGCCACTTATCAGTGCTGCAGAAAGTAACAATACAAATGTCGTCAAGTTGCTGCTGCAATGTGAAAAGGTCGATGTCAATCTGATGGGCAGAAACGGCCAAACACCACTTCATAGCGCTGTACAAAGAGGTAGTACAGAAGTCGTCAAGTTGATGTTAGCATGTGACAAGGTCGATGTCAATCGGGTGGGCAGAGACGGCCGAACACCACTTCATTGGGCTGTAGAAAGAGGTGGTACAGAGGTGGTCAGCTTGATGTTAGCATGTGACAAGGTCGATGTCAATCATGTGGGCAGACACGGCCGAACACCACTTCATAGCGCTGTACAAAGAGGTAGTACAGAAGTCGTCAAGTTGATGTTAGCATGTGACAAGGTCGATGTCAATCGGGTGGGCAGAGACGGCCGAACACCACTTCATTGGGCTGTAGAAAGAGGTGATACAGAGGTGGTCAGCTTGATGTTAGCATGTGACAAGGTCGATGTCAATCATGTGGGCAGACACGGCCGAACACCACTTCATAGGGCTGTAGAAAGAGGTGATACAGAGGTGGTCAGGTTGATGTTAGCATGTGACAAGGTCGATGTCAATCATGTGGGCAGAGACGGCCGAACACCACTTCATAGGGCTGTAGAAAGAGGTGGTACAGAGATGGTCAGGTTGATGTTAGCATGTGACAAGGTCGATGTCAATCGGGTGGGCAGTGACGGCCAAACGCCACTTATCAGTGCTGCAGAAAGTAACAATACAAATGTCGTCAAGTTGCTGCTGCAATGTGAAAAGGTCGATGTCAATCTGATGGGCAGAAACGGCCAAACACCACTTCATAGGGCTGTACAAAGAGGTAGTACAGAAGTCGTCAAGTTGATGTTATGGTGTGAGAAGGTCGATGTCAATCATGTGGGCAGAGACGGCCGAACGATATTGACATGGGCTGTATCGCGCGACGATAGAACTCTTGTCGACTTGTTGTTAGCATGTGACAGGGTCGATGTGAACTGCAAGGACCATCACGGCGTGGCCCCTCTTTCTTTGGCTTTACGGACAGGCTCTACAGCAATGATAAAGCTATTGTGTCAGTCGGATAGGCTCGATGTCAATGCTAATGACAAAGACGGCCAAAGAGCACTTTCATTCGCCATAGACAGATGCGATATCAACCTCATGAAGCTCCTCCTAGGATTTGCCAACGTTGATGTGAACTACAGGGTCAATGGCGGACAAACACCACTTTTACTCGCCATAATGTGTGACTTATGGTGCCGCTGTGGCCCTGTGAGGTGCACGGTAGCGTTATCTAGGGGATCGACAAATGCACCAAGTGTGCGCCGACACCCTGCCGTAGAGCGTCTAGTCAGGGAAGCTACCATTCATCAATACCCGCGCTACCTCCCCTTCTGGCCAGAGACGAATTATCCCAGGGATGACAATGAACATAGACATAGAGAGATATTAAACCTTCTGTTGATGTTTGACGGAATTGATGTAAATATGGGGGACTCAAGTGGCCAGACACCTCTCATATACGCGGCAAGCAAACCAAACGGATTAGGAATTATGAAGTTGCTACTACAGAGTAACAGGATTAATGTGAACTGCCAGGATCACTGTGGCCTGACACCTCTATTACACGCAGTCAAGAAAGGTCACACTGAATCGGTTAAGCTTTTGTTATCGCGTCAAGACATCGATCCAAACATCGCGGACGTATCACACCCGGGACCCCTGAGGCCAAACTCCGATGTTGTATCCTAAGGCAATTGGGCATTTCAGCAGCGGTCCATCATTCCATATAGCCGAACACGATGTCTAGTGCTCTTGGTGCCGGTATACAGGCCATATCTGCGGGAATCGACTACGATATATGGGTATTAAAACCTACACCGGGATTGACTGTATTCGGATCAATCTCTTTTTTCTGGTTTTGGCTATTGAAGCACATGATGATTTACTTCATTTACTTCATTTCCTTCATTTACTTCATTTACTTCATTTACTTCATTTACTTCATTTACTTCATTTACTTCATTTACTTCATTTCCTTCATTTCCTTCATTTCCTTCATTTCCTTCATTTCCTTCATTTCCTTCATTTCGTTCATTGCTTTCATTTACTTCATTTCATACGATTTTTAAGTAAACCTCAGCTCTACCTGCCCATATATTGGGAGAATTGATACCGAGGGGCGTGTTGACATCCAAAAACACTAGAGCCAGTCGTTGGAAGTGCTCCCTTAAGATTCTCGATCCAAATTGAAGTTATGGACGAGTGATACGAGACACCCGAGGAATGTGATTGATCTCTTACGGCAGAGCATGCTTGGAAAGTGTTCAAAGGATAGCATGTACTCTCCCATTGACGGACGCACTATTCCCAATTATCCCCCGATTCCGCCATCCACGGATGGGCTGAATCCTTACCGGACCATCCAATTTGGCCCTTCTGACCGAGTCGTAATAGCGTCCTATTCAGCAGGAAGTCTGATTCGGACGCCCCAGGGACGTCAATGGACCGTGGGTTGAGATGGGCGGCCCGGGCTATTTTTTGACGGGCCGGGCCGGGCCATAGGTTTTATTTGATGGGCCGGGCCGGGCGGAGGTCAATATCTGGCCCGGGCTAAATAGTCACGCCCGGGCTTCAAGGTGTTCATACACTCTTAGTTGTTCGAAGGAGTGTGATACATGTATCTATACTGTTTTTACCATAAAGGTGTAGCACATTCGATCTTATTCAACTCCAGCCCATGACCACAATGAATCAAGCAGATGTAGATCAGTTCGCACGGACGACCACTCAGTTCTTGCCAACGAACACCCCTATTCATGGAAGCCCGGGCAGTATATTTAGCCCGGGCCTGGCCCGGGCTATTTTGCTTGGGCCAGGCCGTGGTTTTGATAGCATGGGCCGGGCCAGGCTGTCCCTCTTTTTCAGCCCGGGCTGGCCCATTGGTGTCCTTGGGACGCCCTATCAACCAGGTACTTACTTTATCGGAATACACCCAAAGAGCCACCCCATCCAGCAGCGACCTTAAGTATGGCGCTTGACAAGAGTGATGGGCAGAGGCCAGCCACGAGCCTATCCAATAGCTTGCGTTGGCCCGGATTGTGGAGCTCTTTCCAAAACGCAAAACTCGAAATTTACCTCTCTCTCCTTTTTTTTTCACACAAAGCGTAGTGTTCGCAGCGACCTCGCACTCGGTGGGTGAGGTGAAAAGGGAATGAAACCATTTGCCGAACTGCCTTTAGCTCAACTCATACTTATAATGGCCCGACAAGAGTCCTCAGTAGTAAGCACGTCTTCAGCGTGTGAGCAATATCTAGTCAAGTCCACGACAGCGGGAGTAGTGTCCTAATAACGTATTCTACTGGGGAAATGATCGGCACCGGGAAAGTGACTAAGCGGGACCCGATGCTATTATACTATGATTGCGCCTATAATTGCTACTTATGTGCCCTCAGTTTCCTCCCAAACCTCGTACTAATACTACGTCCTATACTAGGGACTTCTAGTCTTCTACTTGTAGGTCTATCTATATATGTGGGTGAAACCTCAAATTCTTGACCACCGTCGCTAGCTGCACCCTCATCAGTAGAGAAGGCGACTGTTTCAGGCCAGCCACCGGGTTGGCCATCCATGGGTGGACGGGGTGTCTCGGTGCGGCGGGTTTCGGTGAGGTGAACGCGGGAGCACGTAGGCCCGAGGAGGGTGGTGGTCAATCCTGTGCAGTTCAGCAATCCGAGACGGCTTCCCCCATCTTACATTCGGTCAGCTCTTGGCAGGGCCCAGCCAAGCGCTAAGCGAGGCCTCACCCTGCAACGGCCCGATCCGCGCCTCGCAGTTCGCATCTGACTAACCACATAGAGACTACATCATGATTTAGCCATTTCCGTAGATCCATGTCGATGACGGAACTCCAACACCACTTCAACAACGTCATCCATAACCTCGCGCATCCACCTCAGCCTCCTTCGCCTACATGCCACTACTCCACACACGACACAGACCCCGCTGTACGCGCTGTAGAAGGCAGAAGAGCCGCTATTTCCGCAAAGGCCAAGACCCCCGCCGAGTACATCACCACCATCAGCAGGAGAGGGGAGCGCCGCCGGAGAGGTGAGACGTTATGAGCGGGGATGCACTATTGATGGGCACGGCTCGACCCGGCCCGTTGTTTGCGGGTTGATGACTGGATCCGGGGTACGCGGTTGGTAGAGCTTCGGCACCAGCCGGCATGCGCTCTCGCCTGCTCCGATGGCCGGCTGATACAAACCACGACGCCATCCGTCTCGCAAAGCACCAATCCACATTCCACCGCCGCCACAACATCCCCGCGCTCCAAAACGACGTGAGCAGAACTGCAGAGAGCCAAAATATAGTCGGTGTAGAGCCGCGATTAATTAGCGGGTGGCCTCGTCGCCAGCTCCCTGTGCACCATTCACCCGATTGCACAACACAACACGAGCCTTCCGCTCGTTCTAGTGCGACGACAACAGCAGCGGAGAGCCCACAAGCCAGCGGAGAGGCTGTGGACTATGGTTAGGGTTAAACAACGAATTCGTTGGTTAGCCTCCTCTCCTGATTAGCTACTGATTGAAGACGCGAATTGTGTTGTGCTGACGGCGCATTTATTTTTTATTTTTCCCCGCGAACCACAAAATACTCTCGGGAGTGCGGCAACCTGGATTTTGCCATCGGAATGATCGCCGCGGGAGCTGTTAAAGCAGCGCGGGTATAGCTGTTAAATGCGGGGATTCTCTGACATACTGTGCTATTCGCTATTCCGCGCGCGGCAGGATCCGTTCCAACCACAGAGTACCCCTGGCGCAGGGCTAAACTGCAGCCCCCTAGTGCGCGCGACTCACCTATTCAGACGCCCGACGGGTGGAGGGTAGGTGTGGAATATCACTCCTGTGAGCGCTGGGGAAGGAAGGGTGCGGGATACGGAAGAGGGGTCGCGTGGGATGCAAGCCGGGTGGGGTGTGGCTATGAGGTAAGCGATATTCTATTCGAATCTTGGCCCGCGGAGGAAGAATTATGAAGATCAGAGAGGAAAGGGTTCGCAACGAGCCTTCAGCATGCGGGCAGAGTGACGGGAGATGTTCCGATTGCGCACAAAGCGCAGAGTCCGCAGTGTCCCTTGCTTGAAGCTATGGAAAGCCTAGATGGGTGAGTTAGGATTGGATTTGCGATCTGTTGCTGGGTGGGTCCTGCAGGCCAAGCGCTAAGCGAGCTATACCCTGCAGCGGCCCGATTCGCGCGGAGCATCCCGTAGGGGCTAGCTAAATAGCGCTTAGCGCCCTGCTATCAACGCAGGAATACCAACCAACTTCAAAAAACATCTTTGCATCTACCGTGACCCTTAATCGCCGAAGCATCTGACAATATGCGTTGCGCGGAAGGCGAAAGAGCTGTAATTTACTCTATTGTCAACCACTGCCCCTTGGCGAGGTTGACGTTATCCACCAGCACCAGAGAGCGGGTGTTGTAGGCAGCCCACGAACGTCGGCAATCCACGAACAAAACTAAATTGTTCGGCAAATGCCTAGGCAAGCGACGAATAAATTATATACCGTGCTCTGTAAATATTCCCAGGCAGTTCGCGAGCGGCCCATTATTTACCAGCAGAATGTGATTACCTCGGACACCAACTTGGCAGCAAATCCGGCCATCCGAAAATACTCCCTTGGGGTATTTACAGTACCAGCATAAGGCATTCAAAAGGTAACGAGGGACCTATAGGTATGTTGATATACCCCTAAACTCTAGTCCCTCGCTCACATAATTCTCTAGAGTCGGATAAAATCCGGTCACACTCTATTCTCTTCATTATTATCATGACCGGTGAAGCGTTCACGAACTGCCTGCCATATTCGATATATCTGTTTGTTCGTCGCTTTCCTAGGCATTTGCCGAACAATTTAGTTTTGTTCGTGGATTGCCGGCGTTCGTGGGCTGCCTACAACAGCGGGTGTCGCAAATGCTCAGATACCCATGGCCCACCCGCTACTACACGACCAGTAAAACAAAACTAGAAGTCAATTTCTTCATTGCTTCTTCCCCAGATCGCAGCGCAACATGAGACGTTGTTCAACCCGGGGGCTACACTACACTGCTAATATCTCGATACTGCGCAACACCGCTGAGACATCTGCGCTCCGCCGCTTGGTGGGTACGGTAGGCTCTGACAGGTCTTGGATTTGATGAGATATGAGGATATCGACTTAGAGAGCTTTCAAGACTTCCACAAGCTGCCCTTCACCTCCGGGAAGCCGCAGAACCGTTGCCCACCTACTACGAGGCTCCAGCTCGCCGCAAGGGCACCAGACGCAACCCGAACCGCGGTGGTAATATCAAAGTAGGGAAAGAACCGGAGACACAGCACCGGAAACACAACACCAAGATAGGCTAAAAGCACAGTAGCAGCGCTAATTCAACGTTCTCTAGTCCAAATGCGACGTTAGTCAGTTTAGCAAGATTCCTATATGGCGGGTCGCCATATTAGAAAGCCGCGGTTTTAGAGAGCAGGGACGACATATTGCAATTGCCAAAGGAGGATTTTGATATGTTTTTACTTGGTGGCAGGAGGATGCAGGCTGTAGCCAGGCAGATTCCCCACCACAGTGTGACATTCGCAACGGTCAGGTCCGGATTATAGATATCTATAGATGACTTGGCAGTCCCTCCGGACTGGACGGACTATATGGTCATGGTCCGTCCAGTCCCTGATTTTGCCAGGACTATAGTTAAGGCGCCGGACTATAGATATCTATAGGGTCATGAGTGATCACTCGGTTTTGGCGGCTATGTAGAAGTATGTGGGAGAATTGATATATTGGGCTCATGTACGAAAATTGTGTGTGGGAAAACGGCTGGCCCTTGCAGACTGTAGATCCGTGCTAGGACCGCAGATATCTATAGATATCAATACAGGACTGTAGATATCTGCATGGCAGCGCCACAGCATATGCCAAGCTACAAACCTATAATCCGGACTATAGTCGGTAGTCCTAGCCCCATAGTCGGTAGTCAGTCCCGGATACCTCCTCAAGACCGAATACAGCATGTAGTCGGTCCGGTCCTGACCTCCGGGACCGACGGACCGCCCCGTTGCGAACACTGGCACTGTGCGTGTGCGGAAGACCTTCCAATCGGCTCGCCCGGGCCGCAAAATACCCCAGCGCGGCCTAGCCCAGCCCAGCCCATTTAACAAGGCCCGGGCTGGGCCCAAGTGGCCCATCAATAGGGGATATGAATTTAAAGAGCATGACATGGATTAAAATCGATGCAGTTCGACTTTTCTCAGCAACTTTAATCGTTTTCCTTCTACAAAAATGTATTTCCGTATTCGAAAAACGCCAGTTCTCCTGCCCAAGCCCAGGGAACATAGCCCGGGCCTGAAAAGACACCGGCCCGGCCTGGCCCATCTATCTAAGTAGAGGCCCAGCCCAGCCCAGCCCATTAAGAGCCCGGGCAAGCCCATATAAGACGGGGCCCATTGGAAGCCCTGGTGTGCGGTCTAGGGGGTAATGAGCTCCCGTATAACGAGGTTCCCCCGGTCCAGCGATATAGGCCATCCCGAACCCGGCCTTAGTCACAAGATATCACTTGAATCACATGAGCCATTACCTTACATTCTACGAGTAATTTAGTGAGGTGTTGTGCCTTGCAATTGCTTTAGCCTCACCGAGTGCCGTTAGGTTCTCGTAACCAGAAGCACCGTCCGCCAGCAGTACGAGGTGGGATGCTTGTAGCGAGGGGATGTGGTTCACGGGATCGCTCCTCACCCGAGAAGGACCCGCGTTGAGAGCGGATGCTTGCTTTGGCGCTCTGAGCTGGGGTTGAAGCGGCGTACGCAACAGTAGTATCATACTCCGCTGCGGCTTCCGCAGTCTAAGTAATGGATTATCCATCAATCAATGAAAGTTCAGACACTAATCGCAGGATATCACTCGCTTCATCGCCGCGGCCGTTCTCCCAGGGTTTATCAGTGGGGGCGGGATGGGCGTGGGGCGAATAGGGTGGGGGGGTATATTGATGAGTTTATGGGCACGAGACAAGTTCTCTCGAGACTAAGTCTTGAGGCCATTAGCAAAACAAGACGGGACAAGGTCATGTCCGGAGGTCTTGAGACAAGTCTCGAGACGTTTTTTACTTTTTTCCATCACCTGAATAAATTCTCCAGCCTCAGCCCAAAAATAACATGAAGAAAATAAAGGAGACCCTGCGTTAAGAAGCATAATTGCAGTGCTTTCCCAGCCCCGTGGTCACATAACGAAAAGTCTCGACTCTCGAGACGTTGACGAGGTTGACCATTGTCTCGAGACTTTCGGGACTGAGTCGAAGGATTACAAGATAAGGCGAGATTTGGGAACACTGCACCCGCATCCCGCACTACCTCCAATGTTGGGAAACAAAGGACAGATACCCCGACTACGCCTACTGCCCGGCTGGCGATTACTACGTGTCGTGCAGGGTTAGGGTTAGTGTGGTGTGTGGAGTAGGTGGGATGGTAAGATCTCGAGAGCGCTGTTTGGCGCGCTGTGTTCCGTCTGCGCTACTCCGGTGGGGTGCTGGTGTCTTTCGGAGCGGTGCGGTTGTGTGGGGGAGCGATCGAGGATGGGGAGGATGCGAAGGGCGTTGAGCGGACGTGGTGGTGCAAGTAGTAGGTGTGTTAGGTTAGGATGTCGTAGGGAGTCCGGCGGACCTTACACCGCGGGGGGGTTGTACACAGGACCGTATACTGCGATCGAATAGATATGAACACTCTCTCTCTCTCTCTCTCTCTCTCTCTCTCCACCTTTAGTCCCGCTGCTCCACAAAGCCGGGCATAAAAATAATAGCTCCGAACACACCACCTCTCTCGCTCCGCTCCTCCGAAAGGAGCACCTCCGATATTGCCGTGCTCCGACCCCCCGTGGATACGAGCCTATCTTATTTACACCAATAGACACTTCCTCTTACCGGGATAAGAGGGTTACGAGCTTCTCGACAAGTGTAGAGAGGGATGAGGAGATTCAACTGAGCCTTTCAAAAGAACCATTCCTCCATGAGTGCCAGCGCCCTTGCCAAAAATAAAAGTCCGGGTGGAATCCGTCGAAGAACATCACACCGCGCCGCACCCCAACAAACTCCCTCAGAGGTTAGCGTGGTACGATGGAGTAAATAGGCTCTCGGTGTATTAGGTTTTTGCCGGGATACTTGTGTGGCCGAGATACATGGCGCCATCAACGAATTTTTAAGATGTTGACGAAACAGAACCTTCGCGCCCCGTGCTGTGGGGTGCGCGAGGACTGCATATAGAGTGATGAGTATTACTGGTACTGGGATATGCACCTGCACATATTGCCCCCGGAGGGGGGGGCGGTGGCGATTTGGTTCGAGGGGCGGGGAAGGGGGAGTTACTTAGGCCACCTGACGGTGGTGGGGTGGTCCATGAGGTGTTACTACTCGGCTCGATACTCCGATGCATGCGGGTCATGCAAAAGGCATGTAACTCCCCTCGCCTCAAGCTGGTCGAGGTCTGTGGGGTCGTGCCGTTGTTGCGGAGGGTATACTGATGCGCTTCGTACGATTCACAAGGCTAGAGTAGCCTGCATGAAAGCTGCGGACCGGAGGGGCCTTTTGCGTATGAATATATGCCAGGAGCGTGGGTGGGTGGTTTGTGTTGGAATTGTTTTGCGAGCCTAGGAGCAATGTCCTAATACTCATATGAATGTCAGCATATCTGTCAATATATACAATACCAAAAATGGGGCAGGGATTAGTATGGTAGTGCTACGGTAGTCTTGCTATAATGCGGTATTTTCGGGACTGCTGCATCATTTCGGCATTTCAAGGAGTATATTTTTCATAGAATGCCGTAGCAATACCATAGCAATACCGTAGCACTACCACAGCAATATAGACACATTTTAGCGTTGTGACCAGCACCAGGTCCAGCGCGCCAGCACCATGTCCAGTGTGCCAGCACCAGGTCTAGCGTGCCAGTACGCCAGGTCCATGACCAGGACCACACCTACATGTAGGCTTGTCGACACTATGTTACAAGACTAGACCACACCTATACGACTTCATCATCATCATCATTATTTATTATTATTTATTATTATTATTATTATTATTATTATTATTATTTATTATTATTTATTATTATTTATTATTATTTATTATTATTTATTATTATTTATTATTATTTATTATTATTTATTATTATTTATTATTATTTATTATTATTTATTATTATTTATTATTATTTATTATTATTTATTATTATTTATTATTATTTATTATTATTTATTATTATTTATTATTATTTATTATTATTTATTATTATTTATTATTATTATTATTATTATTATTATTTATTATTATTTATTATTATTTATTATTATTATTATTATTATTTATTTCAACAGTTTGATCTCCAAGAGATCGAGTGATTGGGCATGATGCATCTCCGGGGTGTTTTTTTTTTTTTTTTGCTTAATTCATCTCCGGGGTGTAAATATATAGCGAGTAAAATAATAATTACTACCGACAGTTAGTATACACCGACACTGAATATATAACATGGCGCTGTGCTTCGATTGGTTTTAGATGTTTGCTTTGTAATTGCATATATGCGCATGAATTTCATTGGTGGTTGTAATAACCCCGCTCTTGGTACTGCATAGCGGAGGACACGTCAACACCCTCAGCTAGAGTGAGTCTCATCAACCACAACGGGAGACAGGAAGAAATTTTTTTAATATAAACGCAATTAAGCTACCTAGTCACTCAGTCTCTAAACATTCGTATTCTGGCAAAAGATCTGACAGATCCCTTCCGCTGTTTTCGAGGTTTTGGATTCTTAGCCAAGCTGCGCGATAGTATTACTACAGTAGGATTAAAGATTTTCTATCGTCAGTTTGAGTACTGATATAAACTGTTTAAGTCTAGCCGTGAAGTGTTGCGACCTGTATCGGCCTCTTCCGGCAGTCGTCCTGTCCTGCTTGCGACGATATACATCACCAGGCCCAAAAGCCTGTGACCTCAACTGCCACACCTTCTCTCACCGTCGGCTTGGATTCCCTCAGTATTAGAAGTAACTCAGGTCATCAGCGCATCACCGGACACGAAGGAAAGTACTTCTAAAGGCTCAATAACTTCCGGGCGTTTATTATAACATTTACCAAACTTGCCTACAAAAATGACTACTCCGCTAACCGGAGGCGAAATATCCAACAACCAGGAAATGAATTCTCCCCCTGTTGCCTCTCATTCCAGGTCCTTTAATGCTCCGTTGAACCCCATATCGGAGCTTCTTTGGAAGGAAGCATTCGAAAGTCTCTCTCCAAGCGATCAGGAATCACTCCAACGATCTAACGGTGGCGACATCATCAAAGATATTCTAGATAGCATGGCAGTACAGAAGAAGCTTTGTGAGCGTAATTCGCACGAGTTCAAATGGAAGGGACAGGTTTACCGCTCCAGCGATATCGCGGACAAAGTCATTTCATGGGTGCAAACATTCATCAAGGTGGGCGATACAATTGTCCAGTATGATCCGGTGCACGCGGCGCTCCCCTGGGCGGCATTCCGATTTATCCTGCAGGTAATTCAAACCGGCCCTGTCACATTAGACCTTGAGCGAGCTAATGGTAGAGGGAATCTTAGGTGGCAGTGAATAGTCAAGAATCCATGGGAGCATCTCTCTTGGGAATTGAGCGTATCGTCAATATTATGGTAAGAACAAGCATATATGAAGCACTCTATTTAAGCTTTCAGCCACTCTCCACTATCGAGACGAATCTTAAAACTCAAATTGTTCAATTATATGCCAAGATACTTGATTTCATAGCAAGGACGAAGAAGAAAATATATAAAGGAGGAGTAGGTATGTGGCCCATTCTGCTCCGCGTATTAAAATATATTCTCACGTAAAGTAGGTCGAATTGTATCAGCTATTTTTGAATGTGGCGATACAAAAGAAAAACTAGTCTTGCTTGAACAGAGCGCATCGAGTATCGACACCACAGCGTCAACGGTTGATGCTCAATGTAAGCTCTTTAAATGTATGCTTTTCGATATACGGACTTTGACATAACTATTTTCATAGCTCGGCGCATTAGAGATCGCGAGCTAAGAGGTAGTTATTCTTCCCGCATTACGCTTACTCTCAACTGACCCACATAAAAGAGGGTATTCATGATGGGCGTAATCGATTTGGAGAATTACAGGAGATCTTGACCAAGCTGAATGCTCCATTGAGCGACATTGCTCGTAAATTAGACGCTTTATACAAATCGCTCGAATGTAGACTTTCTTCTAAAAGCTTCCCCCACCCAAGTATCGGCAATGTATCTGACCAGTGTTGGTAATTGGAATATAGTAACACGACGAAAGGAAATCCTTACATGGCTATCATCAATGAAATATATAAATCATCATCGGGAGATACAAAAAGGTTTAGTTGAGAATACGGGGGAATGGCTTTTTGACCACCCCGACTTCCTTGAATGGGAAAGGTCCCAGGAGTCCCGTGTCTTATGGCTGCACGGCATACGTATGTACACCCAACTCAATTCAATCTCCCGTTAATTGACACTATCGGACGACGCCCCAGGCGTTGGGAATGGAGTATCTGAACCTATTATGGCATCCAACATTGATTTTACTGACGATGTTCTGCTATACCTACAGCAGGGGCAGGTAAAACCAGACTTGCGTAAGTTATAGCTCTAACAAAGGCTGGTAAGATCATGATGAAGGCTAATGAGTTTCTTTACAGGTCGGCAGTTGTGGAACGGCTTACAGAAAGACCTACGGGGGCCGCCCACAGCCAGCGGCCCATACCATACTTTTATTGCATTAGAACAGAGGAAGATCGCCGTGATCCGGCCATCATTTTGGCCAGCCTTCTGAAACAGCTGGGGACATGTACCGAGAACCTTCCCGCGATGCTGGTCTCAGCTTATGAGTCTCGAGAAAGAAACGGCTCCCAAGAGCGATTGGATTGCGATGAGTGTCAAGAGCTCATAGTCAAGATCATTAATATTAGTCAGCCAACCACTCTCGTAATTGACGCTCTGGATGAAATGGAGATGGAAGGACGGCTGGAACTATTGAAGGCAATCAAGTTCATCATCTTTCGCTCCACCCCTGTCGTCAAGATCTTTATATCGAGCCGGATGAGCAACGATATAGAGTTGGCGTTAGAGGATGTACCCAGGATTAACATTCGCGCTAGAGATAACCAGAAAGACATCAACAAGTTTATAAGGCGTGAGATAGATAAGGCTATTCTGGAAAAGCGATTACTTGGTGGCTCAGTCCACCCTGATTTAAGGGATAAGATTGAGAACGCTCTCTCAGAAAAGGTTGATGGGATGTAAGTAGAGATTCTACGCCACCCTATAATGAATAATCTGATGGGATACCCATGCCAGGTTCCAATGGGTCGCTCTACAGATACCATATATCTGTGAGTTTCAAATTGCCGAGGACGTGGAAAAGAATCTATCGCGTCTCCCAGATACGCTGCAACAGAGTTATGATCTGATTTATGAGAGGATCGAGCGGCTACCGGGATCTTCACCAATACTAGTAAAAAGAGCGTTGATGTGGATCATGTGCTCGCAGGTACCTCTGAAACTTGACACATGGACAGAGGCCGTAAGATGGTCTGCACAAGAGGATGGATGGAGTGGATGGGATTTTGATCATTTGTTCAAACTTTGTCAGAACCTTGTCGACATCGACGGTGAATTAGGGGTAGTGCGATTTGCACATTTATCAGTTCGAGAGTTTCTAGTTGAGAAGAACCTGGAGGGAGATGGGCATCGCATGATGGCAGAAGGCTGTGCTGCAATTTTAGCATTGCCATATTCGGAGGGAGATACCACCCCTTCCAATATAATACGTCGAATTGGATATGCCTACGAATATTGGGGTACGCATATGATGAAAAGTCCCCGAAAGGACGTCGATAGCTATCCTCATAGTGTTAATATGCTTGTGTTGCCCGAGCGTCGGCAACGATGGATGGAGGGTTCATATGGATATGAACCATTTAGCACACTTTGGGAGGTCGCAAATGAGGCGATACCATGGGATTCGTTGCACGACTATATAGGATCAAAGTGCCACTACCTATTCATCTTTGCGCTCCTTGGTATCCATGTTACCGACCAGTACTGGCCTCCTAACGCAGCAACGATGATCGATGCCGACGATGTTTCTCTTTTCGAAAGAGCTATCGAATACGACCATCTTCAAATGCTTACAAAGCTCTTGGATAATGGAGGAGAGATTCCAGGCGACGTTTTAGAGCGGGTTCAGCAGAGATCATTACCAAAGTGCTCCCAAAGAGCTACTGAATTAATCGAAAATTATCTGGCGTCTCGCACTCCAGCACCAGATTTCGTTGTCGAACCGCCGCCACGGTGGACAGTGCCCTTTCTGCAACCAATCATTCAGGTTTTCCGGTGGTTTACTGGTTAGCTGGCCAATAGAGGCTCTTGTGGGCCCATGGACCTAATAGCTTCTTCACTTTCCATCATCACATCCAGGCAGTGTGATGGTTTTGTGTTTCGTATAAGCCTATTTTGAGAAAATCTCTGTTCCCCCCAATGGAAACTATTTTCAGTTCAAGGATCTCATTGGCTCACTGTGGACTGCATGGTGATCCCGACACCTCCTATATGGAATCAATTTCCGCTTTTCCTCATCTTCAAGCTCGATTACTGTAGGTTTTGCGTATTCTATATTCATTTCTTTATCTTTCTGGTTGTTTCTTTATCTAAATTGACATTTGTGATGGGCGCCTGCGGTCTATATGTAATGATTTAGCAGTTTGTATCTTATTGGTTTTATTTTCATTGGAATTCACTTAGCAATTTATGACATACAGAGATATAGTCGATAGAAGACTTCAGTCCCACCCTCGTCTTCATACCACTCTTCAATCTGACTTATCGGCAAGATACATACCCGACCCCGGAAATACCCCCTCCCAACCCTCTATCAACCCGTAAGTCTCCACCCACTCGGCATTAAGACACAAACGCCAACATCTCCCCCGGCCTCTCGTACCACCGAGTGATACTGTGTGTCCGAGCGGTACCCCATGACTAAATCAGGCAGCAAGAATAGACTACACGACTCCACTACTCACACTCGCCGCGACAGGCAAGATAAGAAAAATAGCCGGTCACCATATGAGCAATATCTATACCCCTAAATCTTCTCAGCCAGCCCCCACCAGCTATTCGAGTCTCCGGGTGAGTCTACATCTCACAAATAGCGTCAAAACTACATTGTCCCACCGGAATGGGTTCCGCCCAGAGGCGGGAAAGGTTGTATCTTTGGTTTTGGTGGCGGGTTGGATTTGGTTGGGTCGGAAAAAGAGTTTTCCGGACAAGGGCATAGCTGTTATGGTAGGGCTAGTGGTAGGTCGGGAGACTTTACGGTCTTAGTTTGGCGGGGAATAGAACTTTGTCGATAAGACTAGTGAAGTACTTGCCTAGGGATGAGACGTGGATATAACTAAACATGGCTAGTACATCCGTGATCGTTTGAGGGGCAAGTGGTGTGTCACGCCAAAGCAGCTCACTTGGAACCCTCCTTGGAAGGGAAATAAATACCCAACAATACTGAGAGGTCCTCTTCAGATCCGAGCAACTCCGAAATGATAATTCTTCATTAAAATTGGGGAACGGGGATTTCAAGGAATTTGGCAAAATCCCGAATCTGGGCGATACATGTTGGTGGGATCTGTTGATATGTGGAGGTCGCCTATCCGGAGATCAGATCCCCTGGGTGACCAGTCTATACGGTGACCTCTCCCATCGCACTGTTAATCTTGGGAGTGCTGTGACTGGTTGGTTGGACTGGTACTCCAGCGAGATTGCACGTTATTTCACGTGTCATTTTAGACCACTGAAGTGTGATAGAACTTTTCTAGGTCGGGGCAATGAGCTCCGGTACGAAATAAATACCTGCACAGCTGTATGAGTTAAGCCGGAACGTAGTGAGAACCAATTATAAGCTTCTCTCGTTGTAGTAATGATTGATGTAGAGTGCCACTTGCCGGTTGCAATGCTCGACTATAGAGTATTAGTAACAATTTAATAAAACTAGGTGAGTAAGAAAACGCAAAGAAAGTAATATTCCAAACTAACAATAGCAGATAGCTGTTTGATAGTAAAAGGACAAAGAAAGGTTCTCCAAGGAACGGCATAGAACCTATAATCTCAGTAGACTTGACCTTTCGGAGAGCTGCAGCATTAAAAACCTCCCCGAAATGTCAGATATCTCCCCCGATAGCGACCTCTGCATATAGACCAATCCAGTTACCAAACAACCGCAACACAAACAGCCAACGCAGAATCATACCATCTCCATCTCCCGCCTCCGTTGCTCCGAGATCTGCAGCCAGCCCTCGCAGACCTCAGCCAATACCCAGTGTAGCGGCGATGTGTCGTCATACCACCATAATGCATCCGCCCACCATATCTCACAGCCCCCCAGCAACCCAGAAAGAGGGTTTAGTCCTCTGCGGTAACGTTTAAACAGTTCCGGAGAAGATTATCTAGAATAGTACAACGCCTCCTCCCTTGCCAAGGTCAGGGTTAGGGTTACCTGCTGTAGGGAGTTATGAAGCGTATAAATTAACGGCGCTGGAAAGAGAGGGGGGGGGGGGGGGGTTCGAGGCCCAGGCAACACCCCACTCACTTCTCAATTTGCATACGCGAAGATCTCGGACCAGGCTAATTAAACTCCAGAGGTGTATTTGACCAAATCCGCGCCGGTGGGAAATGGCCTGTTTGATCCAGTGGAAATGAAGTGGTTGCTGGATCTTAGTGCTGCAGCTGGCTGGAGGGCGGTGGTGGGAAGAGGCGCGCGCGGGTTAAAGGGTGCTTTTGGGGGAAGATTGGTAGGGGGACTGCGTGCTGTGGTGTATTTGATGAGGTATATGTAGTATAGTTGTATGAAGAGGACCTACATACCAGGATAGGTATACGTATACGTCGGAGCATATGTATGGAGTTTCATCTCATAATGCTTGCAGGAAAAGGGCGGGTAACAAATAAGCATTGTGTCAACGACGACAGGTGAGACACATCTATCTCGATTGTCCGTACGCGTATCTAGAATAGCACTATGGTGTAGCATAAAGTCTCTTCTGGAGTACCGGAGCATCTCTCCATCACAGAATGTCCTTCCTCATATCACCCACAATAATAGTCCCAAGACGTGGGTTAGGGTTCCAACCAATACTGATAACACCACCTGCAGCGCCCATGAGAAAATGGAATGCAGAGAAAGGGGTTGTGGGCGGTTTATAGCCATTAAAGTCTTGGCGTAGCCTACATTAAACCTCCGACTATGACCACATAGTGATACGTAGCCACTAACCCATAGCTCCGGGGCTCGGAAACCGACAAACATCAGAGATCACCGGACATAAGACCTACAGCGGCGGTAACGAGCACGCTTAGGTATGGAGTCTGGAGCGCTCAGCTCAGGTACCCCTGCTGTCGCTACCTCCGGAGGCTTTCGCGGGCGGTGGGGTCGCGACAATAAAAATGCTAAACCTACCCTCCCAGAGCAGCGGTTTCAACCCCTTGAGGAACGTTAATGGGCAGAGATGTTCGGACTTACGATACCCGCGCAGGTAATATTTGCATGAGCGGTAATGCACTATCAATGCTGTTAGGTATCTCCGGTAAAGCCACCATCCGCGTCGCCCAACAAGGCCACAGTGGTGGTCGCGGGAAGGAAATAAATACACCCAAAGCATGAATTTACTCCAGTAGTGACAGCGCTGACTTGGAAGTGTCCCCGCTTCAAACCAGGAATCGGGCATGCGGTTCGACGTTGACTCGATCCGATAAGCGACGGTTACGCAAACCTGGTCAGACCCACAACCCTGCATACACCCCTGCAATTACGGGAGCGGGACGGCCCGGGCCGCAAAAAGCAAAAATGCAAATTTCAACGTCATGCATCTATTTACCGCCTATCGGAACGAGCGCGACACCCGTTGTATGCACTCCTGCCGCCAATCTGCGTGGGGGCGGCGCAGACGCATCTCGGTTGGGCCGCCGAGCGATCTGGTCTGGTCTCGTAAGAAATACACCTGGCGCGTTTGTGTGCTTTTTATTTCAGACTGGGCCTGCATATGGGCGCAACCTGATAGCCAGATCTTGTTGGCATGCAGACCGATTATGCTGTCCCAAACCGTCTCGGCGCCAAGAACTCCGTACCTCAAGCACCCAAAGCACACAGCCGATTATCAACCAACCACACGCAGGCTTGGCGCTTTACAGACCGCATTCTGCGACCGGCTGTGCGCACCGCGATTAAATTCCCAGCGCAGATGGCCGAGTTGATGATTCGCCTTGCTATATGCAAATCGACGGTGCAGGCAGCGGGAGGAGCAGCAGCTTAAGGGGAACTGCAATCGATCGAATTGCGGGGATGAGGCGCGGGAGAGAGAAAGACAGACCAGACTTTTCTCGGAGGTGTCGCGCCTAGGGTAGGTTTAAGTTGCAATGCCTTTCCTACTTTTAGAAAGGATAATTAAAAGTAGCGATATGAAATGAAAATTAATATATAATGGGATTTAAGAAATCTATCCTACTGTATGATTTGAAACAACTTTCTTTACAATCGTGGCAAAAAACATTTTTTGATGAGAGTGGATATTGAATTTCGCCTACCCAAAGGTTGACTATTGCCGATGTCGGTGTGCGTCTATGCATATGGCTTTTCGAGCCATAGCTATAGGGCAATTACGAGGAATGAGTTTGATAGTAGGCGGATACAGGGCTGATAACCTTATACATTACTTCGAGATGTAATCCGCGCATATAAATTTAGCGCAGGATGGACCTTATTGCGGGGATATAGTGCCCGCTCTGATGCGACCCCGAACTCCAATCAGATAGAAATAAAAAAACTCCACGGATAGGTTGCAGGATATCGCGCATCTCAAGCTCATTGTGACGGCGTGCTCTCTACTGCTCACAGAGCCTCTTTACGATATCCGTTCCGCCGTTAAGCCGTAATTCGAAAATGCTGTGGTATGCGGACTAATCTCATGCGAGTATTTGCAAGAGTGGAGAACTGGTTGGTTTGGTTAGGATTTTCGATAGGTATGTACAGGCGCAAAGTGTTGAGAAGTGGAGCGTTCCGGGGGTGTTCTGCCGCGTTGACTGGAGCGCTCACTAGCCCGTCGGATAAGGTTTTCAAAAAGACGACGATTTCCGACATGTTCCCATTATCCTAGGTGTACAGATGCCATTTCTTCGAGTCTGACCGTAGATTGTTGACCTCACTGATCCTTGAAAGATTTATCCCCAAATGTCGGACCGATACAAAAAAACCCACACCCCCACAATCTCGAACCCTAACCCTAACCCTAACCCTATCTGGCAGAGACGTACCCTGTTCTTTTTCGTGTGGATAGTATCCGAGTCTCTCCTATATCCATTCGCCGCTGTGACTGCGACCTAGGATGCGGAGTAGATTCCGGCCGCCGATCCATGTATTAGTATTAGTCGTCTGTCGTAAGCTCTATTGTCAGCGGCTAATCACCAAAAATCTATGCACCCCCGGACCGTCAGGGTCCACAGCACCATTCTGGCGAAGCCCTTACCTCGCAGGATCAACCCCCCGCCCGGAATATGGCATTGCACAGCGAAATTACTACATCGAGGGGAGCCCTAAGCCGGGTGTTAGCGTTCATGCCTAATTTCTGCACTGGTACATACGCATGTGGTAAAGTAGGACTGCACAGTAGATGGGTTTGTGTAATATGTCGTGATCGTTGCCGTGGAGGTGCTGCCGGATCCCGATGATGTAACGCAGGGTTAGGGGTGGTTACGGACCAGGCAATACATGTGTCGTCACTCGGTTCTGCTATTGTGACGTCGCCTAGAATCAACACCAGTAGTCCGACACCCACCGCCACTTAAGTATATGGAAATGAGCTCGGAGATAGATGGAACAAGAGGCGGCGCAGAACTCTATGAAGAGCCTTTGAAATTAAAATCGACTCCTTGGCAGTAGTTCCAGGATTTTTGATATTCTTGGCGTTTTCTGAGTGGGTCTCAGCGCCAAATTCATGGCTGTGGTAACGGGGCCGGGACGCCGCCCGTGGATGGAGTCGGGGTCGGCAAGATTCTGAGGTGTACGACCGTTCAGCATAGTGCCTGCGAGAAAGAGATAGACCAACGCCGATACATGTGTATCGCTGTTCGCGCTGCCTCAGGCGTGTCGGATTGTTGCTGGGCCGATGTAAACATCAAAGCGCCCAACTGTGTCAGCAGTCTCTCTCTCAGGCCGGAGGCGGGGGAGATTAGCTCTCTCCCGGTGACCGGATCCGCTTCGGACAGGTGCGGTAGTCTTTGTGATCGCAATTCTACTATTCCCAGAAGCGAAGATAGAAAGTCACTCCATGGACCTGTTCAAGAATGCCCACTATAAGAAACATCCTCGATTAGACTTCATTCTACCCACGAAATTCAAGCAGTAACCATACTTCCGGCCAAATCGCAAAGGAAGCCCTGTTACGGCACCGGCATTTCTTCTCCGTCCTTCGGTGGTTCCTCTAGACGTACAACCCCTCTCCGAGAGAGCGTACCGTTGAAGTGAGCATAATCACTAAAGCTCTCAGCCTTGTACTCGGGGCAGGTATGAAGAACCTGAACATGAGTTTTGGCGGTGACAGTCTTTGATCCGCGCATATTTTGAACTAACTGCAAATTTAATCCCTGCCTGCATACTTCATGTTCAGGTTCTTCTTGCCTGCCCCGAGTCCTTTTAGCTATCTCACAGGAATAAGCAAATCCTCGGCTTCTGCCAGCTCTGTCTAATGTTGCCCCGACGGTGCCAAGATGCCAAGACACATAGATGCCAAGGCGCACTGATACGTACCAGCCGGGATCCCCAACTAACCCCCCCATCTCACTTCACAGGAACGGTGGCAATATTCTCACTTTACCGAATATCCTCATCTCAAGGCCCCCTTTTCACCACGCCAAACACGGCCGATACAGCACTCCACGCCAGCACGACCCAACGAACACGCCCTGCCTTACACGCACATGATACCGCGGGCTCATGAGCTCACCATAGGCCACACTCGCTGGCAAGCTGGCAACACTTCCCAGACCGAGGGGTTCTATTGAAGGGTTGACAGATAATACATAATGCTGCACCCCGATTCCTGCAATCCGGTGTGCGCATCCCGCCGGATACATGCCCGACGGCTTACCCGATATATGTGCGGAATTGGGAATGTGGTAAGGATATCATGCTCTTTTTGACTCATAGTAGATGGTGTTGATCGTGAAGCATAGATCGAGCAGAGTGATATGGCGGAATCTTAGGCTCGCGCTCGAGGGGAGGCTTGAAGGCTCTCAAGATTGGCTCCGCCGAGGTTTTAATTCGCGGCGGGCGTGTAGGGCACAATATCTTGGATGAATACATGTACATTACGAAGAACATGAACTCTAAAAATGCAAAACGTATTTATTAAAGATATTTCAGATGGGTAGGTTCATTCATGTTCTAGGCTATATTGGAAGATCGGCCATGAGGGAGGATTCCGCCGCGGTGAGGTAATTCTTCGCGCCACGGCGGGAGACTTTACTCTACCGGATTAACTCGATACGGAAGACCAAAGTTTTTAATTAACACCATATTACTAGACCCAGTTCCAGTTCGGCGAATGGTGAGATTATAAATCTACATTCTCCTTGTTCATAGTGTATCACTTGTTAGCATCTTGGAAACTATTAGTACACTCGCTCCGTTGGTAATGACCGATTCTGTCTGATGGTGGCCAGCGATTTGAGGTTAATAGTAAATCTAACTGATATTAAGGGCAGGTTACTATATACACTACTGTATATCATCGTTAAAGGTATTCTCCGAACTCGTCATGCCATAGTCTAGGACTGCATGCAAACTTTTGTACCTCGAAATAAAGAATACATGATTTTTTTAAAAAAAAAGATCTTCTGAACTGGTCATAATCACATTTATTTCATATTCCTTAGAGAAAGCTGTCATTCCGCTGTAGCCGAGTCTTCCATCACGGCCGATCGATCTTCCGATATGGCCTAGAACATATATCACTCTACCAATTGTATCAATTTGGAGGCAAATCAAACTCTCACATGTGAATAGCCTATCCTTACGTACACTAGCGAGTCTTTATCACGCCAGTTACCATTTAATAGTCTCCTTACAATGTATTGTTTTGCCACCAAATTATTTCAAATCGTCTCATACCCACGAACAATATCTTCAGTAATCTGCCTCAGTGATATACCCCAAATAAACGACGTATATAGCAGCCCTGCGGATGCAGACCGATAGGCGACAGACACCGAGCTACGCCTCTCCAATCTCAAGGTGGATCCTGGAGCATGGTCGTATTAGCACAACCCTCAGGGGTAAGACACAAACCGGCGGTGCTACATAGGTATGAACGATATTGTAGGGAACGGAAGATTGGTACCTAATTGTGAAGACAAAATTATCAAGGAATCTGTTCAACCGCGCTGGCCTCCTGCTCTTTCCGCGACAAGAAATCTTCCATTTGACAAAATGTCTTGTGCATCCCAATATTTGACTTTGGAAGTTTATCTTTTTTCATCCGCACAATCATTAAAGCAGTCTCCCCATCGCGGGTTTGATTGAGTACGTCGGCGCCTCTGGAGAGTAAGGCTTCCGCGATTTCAATTTTTCCAAAGGAGGCTGCAGTGTGCAGTGGTGTCATTCCATCCCTATCTAGACTGAGTACATCGGCGCCTTTGGAGAGTAAGGCTTCCGCAATTTCAATCCCCCCAACGGAGGTTGCAGTGTGCAGTGATGTCCTTCCATACATGTCTTGACTGAGTACGTCGGCGCCATTGGAAAGTAAGATTTCCACAATTTCCTTTGAATTACTGGAAATTGCTATGTGCAATAATGTCTTCCCATGCTTGTTCCGACTGAGTACGTCGGCACCTCTGGAGAGTAATGTTTCTACAAGTTTGATTCTCTTATTGGCAATTGCCTTGTATAATGGTGTCCATCCAAGGTGGTTTCGACTGTGCACATCGGCGCCTTTGGAGAGTAGAGTATCTACGATGTCGTTGGTCTCCCGGGTAGCCGCAAAATGTAGCGGTGTCTCCAGTCTCCAGGTCGGACTGAGCACATCGGCGCCTTTGGAGAGTAGATTATCCACGATATTGTTAGTCCCATGAGCAGCCGCAAGATGTAGCGGTGTCAACGAAAGATTGTTTCGGGTGGTCACATCAGAACCGGCGTTCAACAGTACTTCAACTATCTCCTCGCGCTCCCGCCAGAGATTCTCGACGATCGGATAGCGACCACAATGTGCGGACACTGCTAGATGCAAAGGCGTGTTGCGACCATAATCCGTCGCACTAACACTCGCACCTTGTTGGAGTAAAGCCTTGACAATGGCGGTGACCCCCTCGAAAACAGCCACGTGCAACGCCGTACGACCCGCGAAGTCTGGCTCTTCGATGTCCTCACCCTCTGCGATCAATGTACCCAGCGTTGCTAACAGTGCGGGTAAGTCATGCTTTAGAACCTCTACTCGATCATTCTCTGATCTCGCTTTGAGAACTTCAAAGATCTTGCATAAGTCGCGCAATTTACTCTCCAGTTGATCGTTGGACGTTATCAAAGCTCGGACGATGTTGACATAGTCATTTGGTAGCGGCGGGTGGGTTCGGGACCATGGTCCCACGTGTACTTGCGGAAGTCTTATCATCATGTGAATACGACCCATCTTATATCTTTTGGCGGAGAAGAATGTAGCTCCACGCCGTTGGAGTACCTCAAACTTCTTGCGATCCCCTAGTTGACCGGCTATCCCCAATGCCTGAGCTCCTTTGGCCCAGTACTCAGCCCAGTCGTAAGCCCACACGTCCATATCGTCGCTAATCGTACATTTAGTTATTGTACCATCATCAGGCACATCCTTCTTAACGTCTGCATCTCCATCGATCAGCAGCTTAACCAACTTCTCATCGGCTGCTAAGCACGCGTAATCTAGAAGTGTCAGGCCTCTCCCAACTGTTTTGTAGACGGACTCCCCTTTACGGAGAAAGTATTCGACGGATGGAAGATGCCTCCACCAACATGCCTGTACTAATGGCGAGTATACTTCCGAGCTCCAGAGGAACCATTTCCCGTAGAGCTTGCTCTCCAATAGGCCAATGAAAATATCTGTGTGACGATCCTGGTTACAGTTGACCACATAGTAATCCAGATTGTTCAATATGTCAAACGTCATTTGGTCACAGCAGGTGCTGCCAGTCACTCTCAGGTAGTTTATAGATGAAACCAAGATCATCTCGGAAACAAGCGACATATCGGCAATGAATTTAGTCTCCAGGTATTCCTCCACTGTATGGTGCGCGAATTGAACGCTATTGCTTGAGTGTTCAATAGTGACTAGCCCCGCACATACCTCAACCAGAAGACCAGCCTCAGGCATATCGGCTTCTGTAATCGTCGTCATATCATCGTCAACAGATAAAACTGCCCGAAGCTCGTCAATGTTCGGTTTCAACTTGGTCTTCACAAGCCATACAAGTACCTTTTGGGCGAGAGCCACACGAGACGGACTCTGCCTGCGAATCCTGTCCATAGCATGATCATAGCACTCTTGCAGAGCGTCTTTAGAGCCGGTTTCAACAGTTGCCTTCAGCTCTATCATGGCCTTTCGTACTTGGGTTTCGGTGATTTGTTGGCACAGACGTTCGATATACAGTTGAGCGAGTAAGAACCTTGGAATTGTATGAATAAGCTCGTGAGCGTAAGGAAGTATATCACATTATGAAATACGTAAGGTGCAGATGAACGCCGAACAGATAATGAGATCTCTCAAGCACTTACATTCCTTTGCAGTCGTGCACTAGGCTCGATACCACGAATTCTCTCAATTCACCCCTAATCATCCGCCCCGCCCCTCGATTTACTTCAATTGTGCCGTTCAAGAATAGGCGGACATCGTCCTGTTTTGCCTCGATTACAATCGTGTTCCAAGCTTCTGCTGCACATACGATGTCCTGTATATGGGGTCGACTGGTAATAAAGACCTTTCCGTTGCCGGACCCAAGGGCAGAAAATAGGCGAAGTAGGTGCGTACGTTCTATTCCCTCGTCGAACTCATCTAAAGCGTCAAAGACAAAATAAACCACAGTAAACTCATTTTTTATATCTAGTAGCGCTTGTTCTAGTTCTGATATGGATGGGCCCTCCTCAGGAGTACCGTTGAATCGGTCATATAGCCGCTCAAGAGCTTTCGGGATTTCCCCGTTTGGCGACGTGGATCTACGCCAGAGTTGTTGGATGAGGCTCCGAAGGACTTTCTCAAGTGTTTTCTGGGCTTGGTCGTGATAGCTGAAGTAGATATAACCGAGGGAACAGTTCGGAAGCGATAGGATTCGGTCTTTAATGTGGTCAATAACAATACAGCTGACAAAGGTTAGTGCTTATCGGAAAGCGAGTTCCTGAGGAGTATACCTCATTACCGTCTTTCCCGCCCCAGCTAGGAAACCCATTAGCTTCTCTTATATATTATTATGTTACTTCACAGATTACTCACGTATGCCAAATCCGCACAATATCTGGCCCTCTGTACCGTCCAGCCAGGACTTAAACTGTGGATGGCGTAAGAGCCAGAGACCTGTTCCAGGATGTTGCCTTTTTTGGATGTCTGTATGTTTGATGTCCCATTGACCTTGGAAAAGCCACTTGAAAACATCCTTGCTTTTAAGTGCTAGCCCGGAAGGTTAGGACTTTTCAGACTTTGTCAAGACTCACGGTATGGTATGTCCGCGCTTCACAACTAGGTCGGGATATGTGGAACTCACTATGTCGATCGCTCTCCTCCCGAGCCTCTTTTTGTCTTTGAATGGTATACTCCTTCTCTACAGTAGACAGGATCTCCTTTACACTTCGATCTACATTCCGGGAATAGATCTCAATAACTCTAGTCATCTTCCTATACGAGCATGAAAGATTAGCTCCGCAGTGAGTACCCATTATAGCAGTAGAGGACACTCACGCAATATCCAGAGTAAGAGCGAATTGAAAAAGATCCTTATATCTCCGGAGTCTTCCAATCTCCCTCTCTATATCCGCCGTCTTTATTGGCCAGGAAAACCGGCTCTGTAACCTCCTCGCTACACTTGAGTCTCTTTCCCGGAACAGCAATAACAGCTCATTTAGCTCCTGTTCATACCCGGGAAGTATCTTTTCTATCTCCGCGGTGAAGGCCACCTGGTTCGAGGGAGTATTAGGTGAGCCTCCACTTTTTATAATTTCAGCCTTGATCGCTCGGAGGAGAATGTTGATGGCAGATAGCTCGGCGGCCATCTTTTCAATCCCCATGGGAGCTGTTATAACGGTGCTAATATACTTGTAGCAGTACCCAGTGACACTGGTGGTGAGCTGAAGAACCGCGATAACACTCGCGACGATTCCAAGGGCTTCTGCCATCGCGGCGCAAACTTTGGCGATGGACGCTTTATTTGCCTGTCGGGATACTTCTGGCTCGAAAGTATGCTTAAAGGTGGGGGAAACTGGACTAAGGATCTAAGATATGTATGCTTGATATTGACCGGATAAACGACCGTGCGGGGTACGTAATGTCACACCACTTTGTAAAAGGGTTAGTTAGGGTTCAATCAGGCAATCATATGGAGAGATAAACACAGGCGAGGATGATGTATTAGACCTCTAGGAGCCTAACGACGTGTTAATACATCTATTCTCGGTGTTAAACCGTGCTCTAATTCTAGATTATGATCGCGTGGCTCGAACCCACTTCAGAGTTCATACAACCGAGCTTCCGCCATGGTGCCGCCAAGAAATGAGGCTCTATCCCACCACACGCTGTTGCGCGCGAGTGGTGCTAAGCGCTTTGATATTTGCTGCGGCTGATAGCCGAAGCAGGGGCTAAGGGAAACGTAGCGTTTAAAAGCACGATGTATACATGTAGGTGTCGACATTTCGACTATGTACCTCTAGCTAGATTTCCTATATCATCATCATCACAGAATATACACGCTTTTGTTGGCTGGGAAAACTACTCTATATTCGTATCGTCGAGAGTGAGACTCTTCCCTTGACAACCAACATGCAGGACGAAGCGACCAATCAGTGATCGCCATGTATTTCTCACAACATAGCAAGAATACCCCCCTTTTTTAGTTTTCTTCCAATCAGAGACTACTATTTCTTTATCTCTTTGGCTTCAACCATGAGATACCAACAACAGCGAGCACAAATTTCGCCCAACTGGAGAGAGAAAGAAGCTATAAATATCCAGAAACTCATGGCTGTCAGGGCAGATCTGCTTCTACAGCAGTTTGAGGAAATTATTCAGCTACAAAGGGACATTAGCAGCCTAGCGAAGAAGAATCATGAACTTATATGGCAGGTTCATGACCTCATATCAAGATTACAACAGTATCCTCCCATGAGAATACCAGATAAGACAAGTCCAATACAAGAAGCTGATAGTGAATATGGATTTTGCTCCTCCTCTTCCGAAACGGAAGATAACAGAATCGCCTACAGCATTGACAGTCACTAAACTGTTTATCTTGAAGAAACCCTCACTCTAGTCATCCCCTTTACACCGGAATTAACATCAATACCGCACGAGAAGGCACAACCACCATTACCAGATTTACCTAAACCAGAAATAAAGCTTAACCCAGCTGCACCTATATTTCCACTTGCCAATATATTTCGACCAGACCACTCTCTCCTGGAGGATAAACAGGCCCACCCACCCCCAGTTGCAAAAGTGAAGATGTTACAAATATTGGGACAGAGGCATCCCCGGGTGCTTGAGATGCAGGAAAAAGTTAAAGAATAGAACAGGACAAGCGACGAGGTATACACCCTTCAAGGATGGGCATGCTACAAAGATAGCAAAGAAATAGCAGTATTGGTCAGGGCAGTATACAACGGGGCTACTCAACTTGGTCCGTTAGATGAAGTGGCAGGAAGATACGATAATAAGAGAAGGGCGGGGAAGGCAATGTTAACATATGAAGAAGACTATGATGCAATGTGCGGTAGCTATGAAGGAAGGGATATACTTGGCCCGAGGGGCAAAGGGGGGAAAAGGGAGACGATATGAATTTATTTTTAGATAGTTACTTGCTTTATTTCGTTATTTGATTTTGTAAGTGGCGGTGGATGTATGTAGGGTACAATACGGGAAAACAGGGTGTGATTCGTGCTGGAGTATTGTTGTAGTGATATAGTTTGTTGAAAACTGCTACACTTTTGACCCACTCGGGTTAATTCGGGAATTCTCTGATTACTGTATTTATATACAAGGGTATTTGCATGAAAGGACGGTTCTTCTAAAAGATGTCTTGTTACAAGGGACTGTTGTGGTACAGCTTGGCTACACTAGGTTTTTGATTACGTATGTTTAATCAGACCGTATTGCTATGGCATCGATACGGCTTTTATCAAACTGTAGCACTTTTAATGGACCACACCACTACGATAAGCGTGCCGCTACATGAAACTAGCGCTTTCTCAGCAAACAGCGGCCTGTTTAAGGCAGCCGTTGCCGTATGGCAGGGTTACCGCATGACATAGATTATGTATTACCATACTAGCAGCACCCATGCAGTATTACACCAGTCTTTGCTAAGCTGTCACACCTACCAGACTCCAGTAGTCCAGGGGTCTTCTCACAATGTCGCACTTGAAATAAAGTTGCATCCGAGCAGCTTGGTTGCCGACTTGTTTTTGTTACTGCACTAACTACAAGACAGTCGGGCTACTGTTTCCTAACGGCTGGGAGTCAAAGACAGGTTTATATAAAGTTAGTATCCATCCGGTCCTATTATAGGATTCTCTCAGCAAAGTAGTAGTACAACTGTATCGAAACCGTACCATTCGCGTAATGAGACCGTATTCCTCGATGATAATTTCGACGATTTTTGAGAATAATTTTCTTAGGCTAACCGCTTTTAGAAGTCACGTTACTAGGTAGTACCACTAACCATTCTTGGATTAATCACATCAGCAAACTCTGCTATTCCTCAGTGCGCAGCGCCTACGCCCTGGGCGCCAGGCACGCCAGGCGCCGCCAGGGCAGAGTGCTCGTGCCAGGCGTCGCCAGGGCAGGGTGCTCACACCAGGCGTCACCACAGCAGGGTGCTCGCGCCAGGCGATGCTAGCATCCGCGCCCGACGCCGCCAGAGCAGTATGTTCTCTGTCTGGCAGCACCAGGGCGCATAATCGTCTATACACTCCGCCAGAGCGCAGTGCCAATCATCTGACCACGTCAGAGAAGAGAGCTTTTCACGACTGCAACTCGAGCACTCGCTCTAGCAGAGCACTCGATCCAAGCAGAGCACTCGCTCCAAGCAGTCCGCTGTCAGAGCAGCATATTCGCACTCCCTAATGAGCTTCTTTGCACTCGCTAATGCTACTGTCTACAGAGTACTCTGAGCGATATCACCTACATCCATAGAGCACCCAGCAATGCTCTCTCCGCAATCTTCTCTAGGCGCGTCGTGCACTTTCACGCGTCATGCACCTCCAGGCGATATGGTGCTCGTCCTGAGAGCACCCGGCGATGCTCTCTCCGCCATGACACGCCTGGGTATGCCTCCTGCGTCTGAAGAACGATCAACTAATGAGTTTCCGCCCAGGGACTGGCAACGAATCACGGACGTGTCGGGGCCCGCCAGGAGACAGAGTCAGCGCCCTGACAGCACTCGTCAGTAATATCTGCGCCAGGAGATCAAATCACAACGAGCTGCTCGCCAGGCACTGCCAGAGCATATCACTCACGCCTAGAGAGCACTCGTCAGTACTATCTGCGCCAGGAGAGCATTCTCAACGAGCTGCTCGCCAGGCACCGCCAGAGCATATCGCCCACGCCAAGACACTCTTCGTCAATGAGTTTTTCCAGGCACTGCCAAGAGATATTGCTCACGTCCGGAGAGCACCACGAATGCTTCCATAGCACTGACCAATGCTCGTAGAGCTGCGGAAACATCTTTAATAATACTATTGAAGGTGGGACACCCCCCACTTAGACCCATATGAATCGATATGCTTTCTTCAAAGGCAAGGTAGGCATCGCCGGTCCCTCAAACGATATCTCACGTGGGTATTCTTCACGCCGCTGAACGGTCAGTCGCGGAATACTGATACGAGCACTGTCGTGTATACTGGAGATGGCTACCAAACCTTTGACGAACGTGTATGTATCTGTCGATTCGTGAAAGGCATAAGCCTTGAGGTTGAGGCCATGGTACGGCTCATCTGAAAAGCTCAATGTCCATGCATAAGCAGCAAACATGGACTGGAAAAAGGTGCAGGATGACTTTACTGGTCGGAAGACCAATGCCTGCCTACCGCGCCCTCCTGGAGCTGGCTTGCTGGATAGTCAGACTCAGATAATGAGCGGCCGATACTCACCTCCCTCTTCCAATCCGCATGCGTACTAGCAGAACGACACGAATTTTGAATTAGACGGTCCTATTGGGTCTAACATTCCACTCGTAGAGCACTCGCCACTGCCCTCAGAGCATTCACTGAATAGCACCCGGTATTCCTCTCATATCACTGGATAGCACTCGGTATTCCTCTCAAATCACTGGATAGCACTCGGTAATCCTCTCACATCACTGGATAGCACTCGGTAATCCTCTCACATCACTGCATAGCACTCGGTAATCCTCTCACATCACTGGATAGCACTCGGTAATGCTCTCACTGGATAGCACCCGGTAAGCCTCTCACATCACTGTATAGCACTCGGTGATCCTCTCACATCACTGCATAGCACTCGGGAATGCTTTACAGCATTCAACTGAATTCATTCCACGTACGCAAATCTATCCTAGTATTTACCAGCCAATTGCCAGCATCCACCTCGAACAAATGGGCCATTCCTAATATACTCCGAATATTCACGACCCACATCCTCTTCCTCCTCCTCCTACAGACCTTCAGCAGCCCATGTGAGCTATCAGCGATACCACGATCCTTCGCCTCAAGCAGCTCAACTACACATAGTCTATGTGCGCGCCCTGTGCTATCCCGCACCTTGAACAGAGCCTCCACACGTCCTGGTAAGCGTCCCCGAAACACTCCCCACTGCTCTGAGGAACCTACCGATACCCATGCCCAATCCTTTCTTATTTTCCCCTTCCTAAAAGATGCTGTTCCCGTACACCTGATGTTGTGAACCTCGTATACGTCAGGCCTTTGGAAGATTGGTATCGGAACCTGCAAGCATGTGAAAACCTCCACCCGGCACTCCAACATGCTCTCAGAGCTTCCGGCAAAGCTCTGAGAGCATCCCGCATCCTCGGCATACTCCTTTATCAGGCGATATAGCGTGAGATAGCTCATTTGCAGTCCGTCTGCCACGTTGAAAAGTCTTTCCGATTTCGCGGAGGGGTTGCAAAGACGCTTCAGGGGCAGTCCGCTTTCTACTATTGAGCGTTCATTTGGCGTTTTCTTGCGGTCCTCGATCTTGAAAATGTCGAGCAACTCCTTGAGGTTATCCCGATGGCTTCAGAGGATGTCGTCAGTGCTCTCAGAACCTCCGACGATGTCTTTCAGATTCAGAATTCGAATCTCTAACGCCAATCGCCTCCCTCCATAGTCCAGTATCTGCGTCGCAGCATCAACCTTGTTGGACGCTCTGTAAGCTTCTTTTACCTGCCGTACATGGGCAAGCTCGCTGACATCCGTGGAGTATTGAGGAATGCTACCAAAGCACTCAACATGCTCCCGGTAGTGCATTAAGACGTGCAATTTGATGAAGTTGAAGTGCGATCTTTCCCGAATCTCCCAGATCTCCTCCAAGCCTCGCTGGGTGCTCTGGGAGCCACTAATTGCTTTCGTTCGATCTCTCGCATCCTTCAACGTCTTCTTGTACGCCCTGAATTCTAAAAAGATATCCTTGTGTTTATGGAAATCCTCGAGATAGCTCTCCATATAGTCCAGTGTGCTCGTTGTATCACTCCCATATTGCGCCATTAAGTGGAAGTCTATTAGGCTTCGAACGCATTTCAAAGCTTTTGCGAAGTCGCTCCTGACAGCCACTCCCGGGTTTCTCAGAGCAGCCGCGAGTGCTCCTAGAACGACCCGCCCCAGATTCCGCATCTCTTTCCCTTGCCATTGGGTGGTAGAACGATATGCCTTGTTTGGTACTGCTAGTCCAGGGTAAGGCGCAATCGAAGCCCAAGCTTTGTCGAATTCCTCCAATCGATGATGCTTCTTCAAGAAACCCTGAATTCACTCCATCATGTGCTTCAACATCCCCAGGTAAATATTGTGCAGTATGTCCGGTTTATTGAGATCGTACGGATTAACCCTCGGCATACCCCAGAAAGCATTGAAGAGTGTTTTGACGGATCTCCCAACAAGGTATTCTACCGGTTCTAGATTGCCCGGGTTCTCGCCAAATAGCTGTACCCTCTCCCTGTAGTCCTCGTGATTGCGCATAGAGCTTCGATGAGTGCTCCCAAGATTGTGAAACTCCACCTCGCATCTCGGGCAAGCACTAGTGCTAATGTTTTGCAAGTTTGAATGCTCGGGTTGATCGGCGATCCAGCCCGAGAGCACCGGAAAGCATAGTTGTTCGTAGCCGTCGGCGCATTTGATTAGCTCGCCCTCCTGAGAGCACTCGCGAATGCTTTGAAAGATCTCCCCAAGGGCACGATGCAGTGCCATTTGACTCTGACGTCTTAAAACGGAATTAGCGAGTGTTGTATTCTTTCCGAGCTTCGGTGGCACTGGTAGCAGCCCTAGGAGAATGAATGAATGCCCTGTGGGCTTGTTGCGCACCGACGACTTGATGTTCCCGATGGTAAGATAGATTGGCCAGGCTTTCTTGTCCCCGCTGAAATTTGTCAGATGTGTGCCATCCGACGCGCAGATAATTGGTACGACAGTGGACCCCTCCGTTAACGTATTCTGTCGAGAAGACATTAGCGACTGCTCGTGTAGCATCATCGACTGCTCATAGAGTACCTCAAGTTGACATGGTGAAGTTTACGGACCTGTATCTCCCACCACCAATCTCCTGTATGCATTTCCCCGTACATTCGCTCGCCGAATTCATTATGCTCCACCACGGGCGAATACACCAATGACTCCCGGAAGGCACGTTGCCCTAGAAGATATCGGACGATTACCATTGGATCCCGGTAGTAGTAAGAGATCTTCTCCCCCCCAATATCCACCTCCGAATGATTCCAGCTCACCTTTCCCAGTGTATCGTTCATTTCCTCCAACCTCTTGATAAAACCCCGCGCAGTGCTGTAGAAGCACTCGCCACTACTCGGCGGAGCGTGTAGAAAGAAGCTGTCGATGTTCCCCTGTGAGGCTTTGGACAGTGTGAAATAGCGTGCTATTCTGAACTCGTATGTTGACCGGAATGGGTGCTATGGGTATTGGAGAAGGCTCTGTGAGCACTCGTCGTAGTCCTCCGAGCGGTAAAGTGGCTCCCCAGCACCCTCGTAAACTGTCGTAGATGCCCTACTATGCCCATTTGAATCGCCATCTGCCTCTTCCATCACGAAATATGATTCGGATTCGAGGTCCGAATTGTTACCCGAATCTTGGTCGAAAATGTCCGACTCTGAATCGTAATGCGTGTCTGAATAGTAATCGGGAATGCTCTCTGGGCTCTCGTCAGTGTTGTCGGGGGTCTCTGCAGGTTGATCGTGCTCCAGCAGTGAATATTGATTTCCCAGCCATTCATCTGCTTCCAAAGGATGGATCGTTCGAAGATGTCTGTCAAAATTCGCGGAGGAGCTGTACCTCTTGCTGCAAAAAGGGCAAGACGATTTCATTGGACTCGAGAATTTGCAGTCTGCCAAGGCGGAGGCTCTTTCCTGCAGGCGGTGCAGAGTGCTCTATGAACGATTTGTCATCCAATGAGGCTCTCGCCGCCAAGCGGTTGTGCAGAGTGCTCTACAGAGTGCTCGCTGCAGAGCGCTCGCCAAGTGATTGTGAGCCTTGCGCTCGCACCTCCACCATAGCGAGGCTGATTTTGACGTCATAGATCTCCAACGGAATAATGCAAACACAAACACAAGCATACAACGAGAAGAAACAACAATCACCACAATAATGCCGCCAACGATGCTCCGTTCTACCCTCTCAGCATTCGCTCTCTCTCTCTGAGCACTCGTGGATGCTATTCAGATCATGGAGAGACCATTCTCACCGCCAAATTCGATACTAATATCGGATATGCGCTCAGAGGATACACACTCTCCGACTCAGCTTCATAGGGCACAGAGCCCCGACACCAACAAGAACACAAACACCAACCCAACATAGGAATCCAATCGACACCACTGTTGGTACTACCGTCAGAGCATTCCCGAGTACGCCTAGAGCATTCATCTACGTCATTCAATTGAATCAAACCTCCGGAGTAGAATCTTCGAGTGCGCCTAGAGCATTGATCTACGTCATGTATTGGAGCAAACATTCAGCACGGCTTGGGGCACCATATGCAGCACTGGTGGGAGCGCCCGGGGGTGCTCGTACAGCACCCGAGGATGCTCGTACAGCACCCGGGGGTGCTCGTACAGCACCCGAGGATGCTCGTACAGCACCCGAGGATGCTCGTATAGCACACGGGGGTGCTCTCGGAAGCATGATGAGCCCTGGAATAGCTGATTGTATTCGGTATAAGAGCACCCTTCTCCTCCTTCCAGATCGTGAGAGCTTCCTAACCATCTTCCAGCGCTACCTATCACTTCAAGCCCCTCCCTGCTATCTAAGCTTTCAAGATACCTCTTGAAAGCGCATTCAGCTCACGTTTCAAGTTTAGGCTTCAACTTGAAGTTTCAAGTTTCGTTTCAAGTTCAAGCTTTCAAGCTGCACACCTAGCGATCATATATAAGATGGTATATCCTCCTTAATCCTATTGCTTTCAGAACCATACTCATCACATATTCACTATAGCCTTCATGCTCCCCTCAGGGCACTCCAGAGCGCTCACAGAAGAAGCGAGATCGCGATCCAGACACCGACGAATCAGATAGCAAAAAACGCCGAAGGAAGGAAAGGGAGGAGAAGAAGAAGGAGAAGAAGAAGGAGAAGAAGGAGAAGAAGAAGGAGAAGAAGGAGAAGAAGAAGGAGCAGAAGAAGAACGAGAAGTCCTCCCCTTCCTCGTCTCGCAAAGAGCAGAAAAGCCTCCAGCCTATCCCAGAAGAGATAGAAGAGACACCCCCACCGCAGTCGTCGTCTTCCCGGAAGCATCCCCGAGTGGTTTCAAGCTCCCGACAGCACTCGTCACCGCCCCCTCAGCACTCGTCACCGCCCACTCGGCACTCGAGACTCTTCCCAAAAGAGTGGGAATCAGTGCAATCTGAAGCCGAGTCCGACAGCGAAGGTTCCGCTGCAGGCACAGCAGCAGGCCCAGCAGGCCCAGCAACACACTCCGCAAAGCGACCAGCAGCAGGGACAGCAGTAGGCCCAGCAGCAGGCCCAAAACCTCAAAGAGGACGAGCACTTCAACGAGTCTCCAGCACTTCCCCAGAATTGGGCAGCTCGCCGCCACAACCGTCGGCCCCTGTCCGTAGAACCGTACTCCCAGTTGGTGCCCCTGCTCCAGAAACAGTCGCCAGTGCTTCACAGAGCTCTCAATCCCGACGTCGCCGTCGGCTACCAATACCTAGTTCCCCTCCACCGGCAGAGCAGAGGCAAAGCCGCAGAGATCGTGCCCCAGAAACTCCCACTCGTGCCCCAGAAACTCCCCCGCGTGCTCAGGTAGCATACGCCAGTGCTCCAGAAGCATCATCCCCAATCTCTCAAGCCCGATACCCCGGCAGAATGACTGAGGCAAACAAAGCAAAGATGGCTTTAGGTTTGATCAACCTCCCTAAATTGTACACTAACATCCGCAACAGCCTCAAAGCGGAGATGCAGAACACCGGTTGGGTCAACAAAACCGTTTCCGGAGCAGCAGCGTTCAATGCTCTATGCCTCCATGTGTTGAACATACGCCCTCTCAGTGGTTTCCTGCCTATGTGGAACGGAGGCGATTCCGCAACCCGCAGAGCACTCGCGGACGCTTTGAAGTGGCTCATCGGTGATGTTGGGCAGAAGGAAAAGCTGTCGAGGGGGCAGAGAAATCGCGAGTATAAAGAAGTTGCTGACGATAGCGATGATGATGAGGACGGTGGTCTGCCCGCCAAACGCTCTAAGAAGCGTAAACGGGACCCAGTGTCCGCAGATCTCGATAGACCTTCCATAATGGTTACGGTGGTAGACCCGGATGCTCTAGGAGCATTCTCCAGGGTTGCCCCGCCCCCTATCTATGACTGGAACCATCGACGAAATCAGAATTCGTTCATTGGAGTTCTGACCAAGATAACGTTTCCAGGGCTCTGCAATTTGATCCTGAAGCACACCCCACCCGGCAGAGCAATCAGGAGTATCTGGGGAGCACTCGATAATGTTCCACTGGCATCCAATCCTCCTGTTCGGCCGATGGAGGTGCAGATCACTGATTCGGAAGAGGTCGAGGGTTGGTTGAAGAATAGCATTGGCAGGCCTCGGAGGATACTGGCGGTACTCCACAGAGCCGGTGCGGGTGCTAATTTGGGTGGTGCTGAAACACCGCCGCTGACATGAGCATTCCCTCATATCGAGGAAGAAGATTACACCACGATCGATATTCCAGCAGAGGACTCTGATTACGAGGAGGGAAATCACCGCATAAATGCTAAAGGACTGAGGGTATATTTGCCCAGAACTGATGCCAGTAATCAAAGGCTAATCCAGACTCTTGTTAGACGTCGCGATAGACAGCAGGATGCTATCGACGACTTAGACCCCAAATACCTGAGGAAGTATCCTCTGGGTGTAGGGGTTGCTGACGCAAACTTTGCACAGGGAGTAATCTGGACGCCTGCCGGGATAGCAGCCAAGAGAGCTGCTGACGCACTCGCGGCTGCTGCTGGAGGTGGTGGTGGTGGTGGTGGTGGTGGTGGCAATCCTCCTCCGGGCGGTGGTGGTGGTGGTGGTGGTGGTGGTGGTAATCCTCCTCCGGGCGGCGGTGGTGGTGGTGGTGGTGGTGGTAATCCTCCTCCGGGCGGCGGTGGTGGTGGTGGTGGTGGTAGTAATCCTCCTCCGGGCGGACCTCCTCCTCCTCCTCCTCCTCCTCCTCCTCCTCCTCCTCCTCCTCCTCCGGGCGGACCTCCGGGCGGTGGTGGTGGTGGTGGTGGTGGTGGACCTTCTGGAGGCGGTGGTGGAGGCGGTGGTGGTGGTGGTGGTAGAGGTGGTGGGCCAGCTGGAGGCGGTGGAGGCGGTGGTGGTGGTGATGGTGGTGGGCATCATTAGTCTCCTTTGGTATAGTCTCTCACCACTCTTCCTGCGGATTTCTCACTACTAACCTTTGAAAAGCTGTACAGATTGCTCTCTGAGCACTCGCGACTGCTACTGAGATGGAGGAGGTGCGGTACGATTTTATGTTTTGGATTTCCTTTGTCTTGCGAGCATATATGAATTGATGGGTTTTTGAATAGCAGTATGGAGTGCTCTCTGAGTACTCGCGAGTGCTACTGAGATGGAGGTGCTGTACGATTTGATGTTTTGGATTTCCTTTGTCTTGCGAGCATATATCAATGGATGTGATTTGTCGTATTAGATGAGATTAGATGAGATTAGATGAGATTAGATGAGATTAGATTAGATTAGATTATTCCGTGTCGTAATTGCATTGCTTTTATTTCAGAGTCGAGTCAAACTCCTAGATTGCTCTCAGAGCACTCGGTATTGCTTCAGAAAGTGCAAAGTGCAGTAAAACGAGTGATTACAAATGATGCGGTTGAGCGGATCCCTGCCATAGGAGGATTAGCCGTGCAAATTCTTCTTGATTAGCGGCGCAAATTTTCTCGCCAAGAATTGATTTCTAATCAAAGATACCGCGAGTGCTCCTAGAGCACTGAGCATATTCCTGCTAGCCATCAGAATGGCTCCCACCAAGCGCTCCTCCGGTTCAGCACCTCTTGCCCCAAAGCGCCCACGACTCCCAAGACGACCTGAAGAACATGAAGATTTACTGACTGACAAGTCTGAGATACCTTGCCGACCATTGACTCCACTGCCAGCCCGCACTCGGAGTAGTCAGTCGACAACCGCCCCAATAGCGCGTAAAGGGCTTCTGTGTTCTACCGACACATCCACTGGAAGAAGCAGCCCTAGAAGGGTAGAATTCCATCTCCCCGATGGCAATACTGACAGCGTTGAAGTGCAGGAGCATCAGGAGGATGTGCCAGAGGTGGAGGAAACCACCGATACCAGCCACTCGGAGTATGATGACTCCCCAGAGAATGCCCAGGAGAGCTCTGAGGAGAATCTGGATGACCCAGAGGAGTCGGAAGAACCTCAAGCCTCCACTCAGCAGAGATCCCAGAGTACGGGGAAGAGGCCTCGTACAGTGCAGCCGACTACTGCCAGAGCACTGGGCAATGCTCGGAGGAGACCAACCGGAGTGGTAGCGGAGGTTATTGCTTCCTCCGACGTGTCGGTGGATGTGGTACAGGTTCGACTCCATCACACCCATTAATGTTAAGGACAAAACGCTAACGATTCAGAGGGGAGCACGTCCGGGTGCAAAGGTAGTACGGAGAGCAGCTCCCACTTCGGCACCCAGCCAGAATGCATCCCAGAGAGCACCGCCAATACCCACACAGTCTAGGCCTTCTGAACCTGTTTATTATCATGATTACAGCTCTTCGAAGCGCCATATCGATCTTTCCTCATTGCGCTCTCGATACGGGGAGTCCTCACCTACTTACCGCCCCTATCGTTCCTCCCCGCCTTTTGAGGGCATTGGCGAGAGCTCTATGAGCAGTCCCCTGATTCCCTCAAGCCCTCAGGTATATTTACCAGAAGCGCAACCAAGAGTCTACGATATTGCACAGCTTTCGTCGTCTATTAGGGAAGGAAATGCTCCTATAGCAGAAAGCGAGGTTAGTAGTATTCCCGATAGCACTGACGACCACTTTGAGAGCACTGTTAACATTCATGCGAGCAACCTATCTCAGAGATCCTTGTTACCTAGCTCGAGGAGTGCAAACGTTCTCTCAATGCAGGCTCAGAGGATTGAGAAGGAGTGCAGCACGCTAATCGGGGACCACACTCTTCTACATGAGCCTTTTCCACCTGCAGCGAGGCTTTCGGTACTGGTAGTGAACATGTGGGCAGCTGCCAGTCGCAGGGTGGGATGTGCGGTAGATCTGGACGAGGTCGTTATCAAACAGGTGAATGCCCTTGAAACGTTGACGAGTGCTCTGGAAGCGTAATTGACAACGATAGGTCAGAAGTCTACACTCCCGAGTCCGTTCGCACTTGATGCACGAGGTTAAAGGGCGCCTGGCGGATTCGACCATCTATGGGCTTGAAAAGCTCTCGAGTCCTGAGGTGAGGGCTGCTCAAGTAGAGTATCTTTTAAAGAATGATCGGTTTCTTGAGCCCTGCGCAGCATTACGAGGTATGATCAATCCCTAGAGAGCACCTGGGGGTGCTAAAAGAGCACTCGGGTGTCAATGACCAGAGAGCACTCGGGTGTCAATGCTCGGAGAGCACCCGGACACCCGGAATGCTTGGAGAGCACTCGCGAACGCTGCTAACAGATACTAGACCTACCGTCTACGGTTTCTTGCGCCAGAGATTATCGACATATTGTACTATAAATACTTTGATGGGGTCAGGATGCGAGGGGTAAAAGACCCCGAGTTCCTAGAGCGGATTACCCCTACATTTATTTGCCTGATATCCACTGCAATTTGGCATGGCATTCGGGCATGGTCAACGGGAATATACGTGAAGCCTGACCATTTCCAGTCACAGAATGAGAGTGTTGTCAGTAAGCATCCCTGATCCCCTTACAGCTATAGCGAGTGCTTTGAGAGCAGTAACAGATGCTCCCAGAGCTATAGTGGATTCGCGCGCTGACATTGCACACGAGTAGAAACGTTCAACAGGATGAGCAACACATGGAAGGGGAGGAGTAGGCAGAATCAGGAGGCAACGTTGGAGGTGATCAAGGATAACCTCCGGGAGAAGGTATGTTATAGATGGGTGCTACAATGGCGCAGCGCTCTTCTGCATACGGAGGCTAACCTTGATAGATACGAGAGAAGAAGGGTATCACTATTGAGGTGATACCGGAAGATGGATTTAGCGAGGACGACGAAGCGTTAGCGGCGGATCTTGCGGCATTCCGAAATGCTCGGAGAGCACCCCCGAGTGCTCCAGGGGATAACTCCGACAACGGTGGCGGCCAGGAAGAGGTGGTTCAGGCTCAACTTCGGGGCATTGAAGCGGAAGAGGAAGGCGAGGAGGATGAAGATGAGGATCGCGAGGGAGGGGAGGAGGAAAAGGATCTGTAGCGCACCGGCGAGCGCTTTGGAGCGCAATGGCGAGTGCTTTGGAGAGCAGCGGCGAGTGCTTTGGAGAGATACCTATATACCTGTATTATATTCGATTGGCGATTTCAAGACGCTTGTAGTGTTAGTATTTAGTAATAGAATCACGGTTTTGGATGCTCTGCAAAGCAGTGCCTACTAAAGCAAAGAGTAGTATGCCTGGTAAAAACATGGCGCTGAAAGGTAAAATGCGGTACGTCGGGCGCCGCTGGAGCAGCCGGGAGTGCTCCAGAAGCATTAGCGATATGCCCAGGAGTCGTCAGAGAGGTTCAGGAGCGGACAAAACGCTTCCTGAGGCTTCGCGAGAGCTCCAGGAGCATCCAGGAGATAGGTAGTAGTCTCAGGCGAGAGAACATTCCGTCGAGAGAGCGTCAGGCGAGAGAGCATTCCGTCGGGGTAAGCGTATCACTGTCGGGGCGCGTTGGGAGGGCTAGTGCGTGCCAGGGCGCGCGAGTAGCCTAGTGCGCGCCAGGACGGAATGCGATGCGCCAGGGAGCGCCAGGAACGCTCTGCTGCTTCTCTGGAGAGGCAGTTTGTCTACCGAGCGCCCTGGGCGCCTCGAGCGTCCAGAGCGTCTGGCGGAGGTTGTGGGTTTGCTGATGCATATTTTATTTCTATTCTAAATATTCAACGATAATTTACATGTCCACACCCCTAACCCTAAATACAAAAACAAACAGGACTTTTTCGATAATGTGCAATAAAAGATATAATAACTATTCAGACTGCGAACTAAGCGATATTAGCATTTATTTACAGAAAAGAGCAGGATCAAACATACCTATACATTCGCCTGCTGATTTTCTTAACGATTTTTCTGCAAGTGAGATGTCAGTATGTGTTAACGCGTTAAAAAGATAGAGAAAACATACAATGGCCTATAAACAAGCACATTCGAGAATCGATTTTTCTATATTTTCTGCAGGAACAACAATGTCGGTACGCGTTGACGCGACAAATGATGGGGAAAAAACATACTTCTATGTACACAAACACAATGGTTTCGTTCCTGTCAAAACAAAGTGTCAGTACGTGTTGACGCGTCAAATGAAGGAGAAAAGCATACCTATACATGTACACAAAAACACGATCTCCTGTCAAAACGAGTGATTTTAGTATGTGTTGACGCGTCAAATGATAAGAAAAACAAGAATACATGAGAATTACCGCGACATTCATACGGATCCACTTGATGAATGAAGTACGCCTCATACCTACATGTATATTACACCATTCGATGTTAGTATGTGAAGTTTTGGTTTGGGTTCAAATACCTTTGTAAGTGCGAGAATGATAAACCTGCACTATTAATAGAGTTGAGATTTTTTGTTCGCAAACGTACATTGTTGGTTGTAGTTGTGATGCTGATGATGCCTGGTGGTGAAAATGATTGGTAGAAGAGGGGAGATGCCTAAGAAAGGAAGGAGGCGAGGAACATCAAAGGTCATGAAGGGGAGGGACTGGCATTTGCATGTGTGGGCTTCTAGGGTAAAACCCCCCCCCCCCACTTTCTTGGTGGTGCTAACTTCTTTCGTTATCAACACCATTGAATTCGCGACACCATAAAATCTAAACGACAACCCAGACCACCAAACCATACACGTACATGTATCTGTACATCTAACATTTATGGAACAAAAAGGTATGAAAATACAATACGCCAAACACAAAGAAATAGAGAAAAGCTGGTACGATATCGTAATACATAAAAAAATAAAAAAAAATAATAAAATACGCCGAAAGAGAAAGATCTAAGGGTAACGGAATAAAAAAAAAGAATGGACCCGCTTATCGGGCATCAGAATAAACGGGGAAGATAGGAAAAGAAATAATAAAATAAAAAAAATAAAAAAAAGCGTTCGCACCTACAGCGGATCCACGAAGCCATTGTCATATTCCTCCTCCTCCTCCTCCTCTACTTCTTGACTTTCTTGTGCTTCCGCTATCTCGTTCTCGTCTGCGCGATACGGTTCATCAGCCTGGTTGGCGGCTATAACAGCAGCGTTGGTGGCATCATCAGAGCCCTCTTCCGCGTTGTCTTCTCCTTCATCGTCTGAGAAAGGTATGAAGGCTTCGTCGTTGGTAAGGAGATCTTTATCCTTCGTTTTGCGGAACCGGACCTTGCTAGGTGGCTTGCTGGGCAGGAGAATCACGATATCAAGCCCTATATCATTATATTGAGGCCTGATGCCAATGAGCCGAATCTTATCCATGCAATTTGTCCTATTGAATTTCAGGGGATCATGACGCCCCATATGAGAATATCTGCAGACAGTCAGCTGTGTTCGAGAAAGCCTTATATAACACGGACCTTACACCAGTGAGTAGGTAAAGATTGTCTTATAGAGGGGCCCTGCCTTTGGCTGCTCAAGGGTAGTCTTCCAGTCGACGACAGCACGAGTAGTCCCCATCAACCGGAAAAAATTCTCAAAACTATAATAAGCAGCGTATGCATCACAGAGATACTTCCCCTCAAGAGCCGAAATCCAGGCATTTTCCGACTCAATCTTCATTTGCAGATCATCTACCTGGGCCTAGTAGATAGAAAACCAATTCTTGCACCAACACAGAATTCGCTGATAGGCATCCCGATATCCCCTGGAGTTCACTTCGACTTTATTGGCTGAGGATTTGTTTATGATCACGACAATTTGGTCATCATGGATCTGTAGGTACCGACAGAAATACAGCCGGGAAAGAGATATAATAGCATTGCAAAATTCTCCCCCGTCGCCAAATTCTGCGTCAAGTCTGCTGCTATTATATGGACGCTTGACTGCACTGCTGGCATAGAGGACCTTGTCGAGTGCAGCATGTGTCTCCTCGGCGGTCATACCGTCAGGCACCTAGATGAAGAATCAGTACATGATAGGATCTCAATGTAGTCCCGGAAACTTACGCGAACGACATATTCTTTTTCAGTGATTGGCTCCTCACCATCAGCCACTTGTGCTTCTTCTATTTCTTGCTGTTGAACGACCCGCGGTTGTTGTACGGGCGCTGGCTGTGGGACGAAGGGGATCGGTTGAGCCGCTGCATGTGCTGGGACAACAACCGGGCGTGTGGGAACTTTCTGTGCGTGAACACCACCACCACGATTACCTGATGTAACATTACCACGAGTGCCTTGGCTAGGTGCCTGATTCTGATTCTGATTCTGATTCTGGCTCTGGCTCTGGCTCTGTCTCTGGCCCTGGCTCTGGCCCTGGCTCTGGCTCTGGACCTGGACCTGTGCGGGTCTCTGGCTTTGCGTCTGTATGGGTGTACACCCAACTGTCTGTGAATATTCAAAAGTATTGTTAGGGAAGTTAGGAGACGATGGGGAAGTTTCATATATCGAGGCAGGGTTAAAAATATTTTGGTTGAGATTAGCACGTCGTAGGAAATTAGGCGTTGGACTAACGGATTGATGAGCGCCGTGTCTAGAGGCAGACACATTGCCGCTGGCGGCTACTAATCTCCTCTTAGGTGTTCTCACAGGTCCAGGCACAGACATTATGGCTGCGGTGATAATTTGATGCATGTGGTGATAATATGTTCACGTGTAGAGAAAGATGAAGTTGTCAGGGGAGGTTTGTGATTCGTGAACCTCAAGTTTGTTTTGATTGGCACATTCCCTTGTAGGGATAGCTTCGCTCGCTCGCGTGTTGATCATGTGACCTGACAGGACCCCGTAGATCGCACCCTTACAGATTTATCAATTTAAATTCGTTCTAGTACAGGTACAGGACTCAAAACCACATCTATTATCATTTGATTTTGACACGAGTATTTAATCTCTGACACAGACATAGCATGAAATTGGCCGTTGCGCTCCTGTTAATTCTCCTTGTCCTCCTGCTTCTGCCCGTTTCCGCTACCACCCCCCCCAATGTTTTCGTTGTCATTATCATCCGCGTTTTCCTCCTTAACCATGACGCTATACTCATCCTCCACCTCTTCTTCTTTCTTAACCTTCCCAACGACCTCCCACATAACACTGCCATGGTAACAGTCCTCGTCCTCCCAGTAGAATTTCTTGCGTGAATGTAGGGTACATTCGATGATATATCCCAAGTCGATAATGCGTAGAAGGTAATGGAAGTATGGGTCTCTGATCCACCCACAGTGCAAGTATCCGTCTTGGAGTGCGATGCCCCAGACAGGGCTGGCTGTAGTTGAATCGGAGCTCAAGGCCTTGCCGAGCCTATAGGTGACATCAAAGCTGGAAGGACATTGGTTGTCGATTCGGGCATCTCCATCAACGTCTACACGAATTTAATACCATACGCGTACATGTAGTTAATGAGACAAACGGAACTCACAGATCATACGCGCCATGCCAAATTCCTTGGAGATATCAATGCCATCGATATACTCGCTCATGGTGGTTAGAACGTGGAAGAGGTGAGATGAGTGATTATCGATGATTTGAGAGATGAGTGATGATGGATGATGAAGATGAAGAGTGATGTATGGTGATGTGTTGGAGTGCAAGTTTAAACTGGAGAGCCCTCGTTAATGCATGCCTATGCCGCAATTGAGGCTCAATCACCCTGGAATGCAGGGCTGAGCCAGGGTCCGACCTCACTAGGGAGCAACCTTAAACTGACGTGAAGATCAACTCCGCGTAGCAACGCGACACCCAACCAAAATCGCCCAAAAACATCAAATATCGAGTGAGATTATATGATCGCACTGAGGAATGAGGCTCCCAGTGGTGGGAGCTGAACCGCGTTCAGCTCAATCACCACCATCACCACCCCCACTCCCCCCCACAGGACCCATATCGCAGAAAATGAAGCGCCGAGGAAATCTTGCACATCTCCCCACACCTAAACGCGGCTGTAAGCGTGCCTCTATTCTCATCGGGTGATTGCTGCCAAAACGAGATGTATCAGTGCTATTGAGGCTTGGTGGACGTCCAGCAAGAGCTTTTACCCCACCGCAAGCAACATCACCTGGAGATGTACCACTTGACGAAATCGATGTCTATGAAGATCAGTCCCAGGATGCTGCCGCTATGGCGTGCGAAGAGGATATTGGTCCCCCTGAGTCTTCATTACCTGGGCGCCTACCGTTTCAACAGCTTTCTACAAACATCATGGGTGTCAATTACAGAGATGATTTGAACGGGGAAGAAGACTTTAATGCGGGTGACACAGAGAATGCAGAGGATATTGGTGCTGATATAGTATTCGAAAAAGAGACAGTGGTAGAGGAAGAGCCGGGGGATGAGCTCGTCAGAGGGGGCGTGGAAGTGGCCACAGCTCCGATTGAAATGGTCGCGATAGAAACAGAAACGAGCCCGATTGACACTACAGCTACACCAAATACAGAGCCTATTTTAGAAGAGGAGGACCCCAAAAGGCGCGCCGTCACAGAAACAGTTGCTGACGGCCCGGCAGAGAACTCGAAGAACAGTGCAGTGAATGATTTCCATATTGCAATGATGTTATTTGTCACCAGCTCTGATATTTCGAGATCGCAATATACAGCTCTAACGGAAGTATTGGCATTTGCTACCGTCGAAGGTTTGCAAACATTACCGAGGAGTATAAAGACTCTCAGAGAGAATACCCGGAGATCGCTCCCTTTATCGCAAATTAAAGCCTGCCCTGTCGGCTTAAATTTAGATGTTACTACACCCAAAACAGAAGACCATCGACTAGCATATTATTTCGATACAACAGAGTATTGCAAGCCTTGGCTGAGCGACCCAAAGATACGGCACAACTTGCACATAGATATGGGAGTGATTGTTGAAAACCCGACGGAATTATGGCACGGAGATGCTTGGATGGAGAGCGTACGCTCTACCTCTGGGGTTTTTGACAAAATAGGAGAGCAAGGATCATCGTCACGTGATGGGTCGGCTGGTGCAGGAGCTTCAGAAAACATTCTCTTACCATCTGATTGCATCAAATACCGCGATAGCACAGGAGATATCGTTTACGCGCGGGTCAAAGCAATAGGCATTGATGGTAGGAAGACGCCACAAGGGACTTATTCTACTCAGCGATCCTACTTAGCAGTTGTGAACCGCCTACTACCAGTAAGCCACATTCCAGCGGAATTCAATAGGGGTCCATTAGTAAACGACGCGTATCCATCCTACCCATCGGGACTCCCAGAATTGGTTCTTTTCGAAAGCACAGATATTATCCCGTGCTCCAGTATACTGTCCAAAGAATGGGGCTACTTCACGGATTACGAGTCACCGGAAAGCCTCCGCAATAGCTTGTTGCCGTATCCACCTACATTCTGTGTGCGTAAGATTGTTTACTCTCATTGGGGAAGACCCTTCACTCGGCCAGTACATAAGAGACACAGGCTAGCGGCAGAGAACGAGCTTATCCACCTCACGAGAGAGTATGTTCTGAACACGCTCGTTGCCAAAGAAGGAGCGGTACGCCGCCACATGTCGGTTCAGTTTTCAACCTTTCTAGATGGTTTCGGTCTATACCGCAATGCATATCCCAGTCTAAAGGGAATGTACATAACTCCTGCTGGGCTCGATTACAACTCACGATCCCAAATGGCCAACATGTTCGTTCTGATGCTTGGGCCGTTTGGGTCAAATGAACTGTAAATGTCAGCTTGCCTGAAGAAAGATAGCGAAATGGCTGGGATGGGCTTCAAGGCTAACTTCCAAAATGGTGATTCGGTATTTATATCGGCTTTCCCGCTTCTGTTTACCGGGGATTTACCTCAGCAGAACCAGAACGCAGGGAATAAGACTCATAATGCAGAATACAGCTGTAGATATTGCTTTGTCTACGACAGCGCCCGCGGAGATCTGCTGCAAGATGTTCTTTTAAATGGGAGATATCGGGCGCCGACCAAGATGCTCTACCAGGCGGCTATGGAAACCGGCACAAAAAGTGGGTAGGCGGCGGCACTGCAGAAGGTTGGATTGACGGTTGAAGGGCCGTACTTCACCAGATGCTATCCCATGTTGGATCCCCGGCGTTCCAATCCTAACGATCCAATGCATGCCGAACTCCGTCTATGCAAGTACTTCTCCGAAGCATTGATAGATGGTATGCTTTCACCCGTGGGCATCGTGGCTTACCGTGAGGTGTGGAACGAGGTGGATGTGCCTTACGGATGGGGACAGCCTCAAAATCCTGTTAGCCACAAGGGCTCAATGGTCTTCAGCGAACACGGCCGTATGGCGATTATGAACCAGTTCGTATTGATGCATCTCTTTAGCAACGAGAACTCTAAGCACCATACCCATAATTCGGACAAGCCATACCTAAAGGCAGGTATCGAGAGTAGAATTAAGTCAATGTTTTACTCTGCCGGGACAGGTGCGCGCCAACTCAGTGCAAGGCTGTATATTCTCCATACGTCATATACACTGGCAAAGACCGTTCATCTAACGTTGAAGAAATCGTTGACACGGGAGGAACAAAAGGAGATGTACATTGGCGTTTACCAAGTGAGTTTCCAGTGACCGCGTAAAATAGCTTATAGAGGCCCTAATATACACCTGGGGCTCCACTATTCCGAGGACGTCATCAACTTTGCTACCACCTTTAATGCGACCACGGCCATGGGAGAGCAGAAACATAAAGTCTTTAAACAGCATGCTGGACATACAAATTCCACGAGACGGACTTGCAGTTATTGAAGCTGATTAACACCACCCAAACGATCCGTTTCTTATTGGACGATACCTTTCCAGACCTGGCAATTTCCAAACAAGTTCAAAATATTGTCAAGAAGTACCCCACGCTGAAGGTCCGCTTTCTAGGGCATGCCCTAGCAGAAGCCGACCAAGACGATAGCACCGCCTTTGATATCGATGTGAAAAACTCACTATTCCTATCGGCAAAGACAAGTCGTCCGCTCACGCTGAAGAGTATATCTAACAAGGAGAACAATCTTCAAGGATTGAAGCAGTTATATAAAGCAGAACATAATGTTGATATCGATCACAACATGAGAGCGAGGATTCATTATTGGCATTATTTCACAGGAAAGCCACATGCGAGTGTCCGTGTAGACGGCCAGCATGATTTCACAGTGGTGATTGGCGGTTTTGTTCGTTTATTACGTGAAAACAACCCGGTGGGGTTCTATCGTGTTGATGCCATATTCACTTTGACAATAGGGTCCTTGCGGAGAGCATACTTGTCTTTGACGTTGTTACAGAGGGTTGAGGCGGAAGAGGTCGAGCTTACCCCGTTTCCTGTACTTAAACTGGATCGAGCAGGGTCTATAGTTGTCGTTGGTATCAAGGAGCTGTATCCTGAAATTCTACACTTTGTCAAGAAGTCTGACGATTCGTGGTGGTACAACCCCTTCGTCCCGCACTTCATTTGAGAGTGGTTTGTCGAAATTATGTAATCAATATATGCAGTACATACCATTGTATTTTCTCCGTATTGCGACCGTATCAATGTGAAATAAACATTTGTTAAAATAGGTAGTACGGAGGCGGTGTTTGTGAGCATGCGTCTGTGTAAAACAATAGGATCTAACCGGTATTACTATCATTTGATGAGGAATACCAGAGGATTACCACTGACCAAACGCTTCTTTCAAAAAGGCCGTAAGAATACCGTAGCGATGCCGTCTTATTTTAAACACGGCCGGTTTAGTGCATTACGCTTGTATTTAAACCTGGTAGGACTACGGGATTGCATATAAAGCGCCTGCATATGAATATACCTTTTTCCAAAGGCGGCTTCTTTAAACAGGTTGTACGCTAACCGTACTCTACATAGTGCAACATCCGTGCGGCTCCGATCACACCCCGATTTCCGCCATTGTAGTTCTTAGGTCGTGCGATATCGTCATAGACTACGGTCTGCATACCATTAATGAATTAAACACAAAAAAAAAAAAAAATATCGTCGAGAGTGAACACAACAGCCGGCCAACCGTCGGCCGGAAATGTCTGCGGGGAGGTCGAGACCAGTAACGCCGCACCCGACCCTAACGATACCAACCCGCCATCCGCGCGCACACAAATCGCGGCCGGACTGTCGGAAGGGGTTGTTGTTGCTGCAACCCAATGCCGCTGGCTCATCTTAGCTGCTGGAAAGAAAGAAGCCGTTATATATCTATGTCGAAGCACAGTCCGAGAGAAGACTGCTCGAGGGGTGGCGGGTGGGTAGACATCCTTCAGGCATGCTCTTATTGGGTAGTAGGCAGTCAGTGCGGCGCTCGTCGTAACCAACACCCCATCCCTCCCCAGCCTGTGAGATGCGCTCTCTTCCACCCCCGCCGACACACCGCCGCCGCATGTAGACAGAAAGACGCCCGTAAGAAAAACTCCGCGCTCGTCCGCGGCCTCTACGTCTACCGACCACCGCCCACCGTCCCATGCACCGAAACAGAACTCACCACAACACAACCTGGCCCTCCGCGCAAACACTACGCGGCGTGAGAATGTGGCTCGAGCGCAGATGTTCATGGCTGGAGGGCGTCTAGCTATGTTGCGTGGGAGGTGGGGGGGGTGGGGGAGTGCGGTGGGGGTGTCGGGAGCTGTTTGCCGTGGTAAGGTGATGAGTCAGCCCTTGATGCAGGCTGGACCGTGCGTGAACGTGGTGAAAACCCCGCATCATCGCGCCCTGCAGCTCAGCACAGCCCGGTTTGAAACTCACCTACCTACCCGCTGTCGCACACAGACCCACAGATCGTACCTGCAGGAGCCTGAGACATTCCTCGCGTGAGCCGCGGGGCTTGCATATGAGACAGGACGTGGGTATGGGGGGTTAGTCGCTTGTGCTGAGAGGGGATCTTTCAAGCGGCTACAAGGGCGCCGGGGCTGTACATACAAGCCGGAGTATCTGTGGGGAAATTCAAAAGGCCTGGGATGTCATTGCTTGTGGCCCCGAGCTGGTGGTAGGTATCCGGCCAACCAACCCCCCCCCCCCGATGCACTCACACCCCAAGCGCCGCCCCGCGAGCAATCAGCCCGAACAAGCGGACCAGCAACAACAGCGGGCATGGAGAAAACGGGAGAAGGACCCTCTTTTCTTTTACAGCCCCACCAACCAGGCATAGAACTCTATCCTTGGCGCCAAGGCATCACGCCCGCGGCGCCCGGGACGGGTCGCGGGGAAGGTATGGATAGAGGGGCCCGCAGGAGGAGGAGCACCGGGAGAGAAGGAGGGGTAGGAGAATCAAGCGGAGTAGGCTGACGACGACACAGCTTCATCACACACTTTTCGTCGCCCGGGCGCCTCACAGGGTTCCGTAGGGCCTGCAACATAGCCGAGTGGCCATGGGTGGGCCCTCTAACTGCCACTATTGAGCTCTTCCGCCTCGCGTCTGAGGGCGTGGGGCGGGATGGCCCGAAATATGTATGCCCTTCTTCCCCTCCGAGTGGGCCTCTCTTTGCCGCGCATAGCTCACCGTATTGACCCTCCTGGCGCGTACCACCGGCCCGGACCCTTCTTTGCGAGTCTCAAACCTGCTCCGCGATGCGACAGAAGATGGCCGGTGGACGGTAGAGTTACCGCTTGAGCCGTGTCGGAGGGGTATTGAGATAGTGCTGAGGAACCGATCAGGGAGCAGAAAGACTCGGCGGCATAGTGCGAAGAAGCGGGCGAGGGATTAGGCTGAAGGAGATACGGAATATCCCGAGGCGGAGAAGGAGGAGGCGGAGAGGGTAGAACAGAGGGCAGTTAAGCGGACAAGGGTTCTCAACAGCTCTGGCTCGCATGGGGAGGCTGTGAGCGACAGGGAGACGCAGGAGGAGCTGGGAATAAGGAGCGTGCAGGGAAAGGAAGCAGTGCGGGGGTCCTCAGGCTCTCACAACCTCCGGCTCGATACGCTATATTTGAATCCTCTATGGTCTCCCGTATTGCACCTCGGTCGGTTCTGGCTGCATTAGCTTGTGTCATCTATTATATAGCGCGTCGGATGGGGTATGAAGTAATCAATCAAAGTGTCGGACGGGGTACATGGCTGCTGATAACCCTAACCCTGCCAACGAGTGACCAATGATGATGACATTGGATCGAGTGATCTCGCATGAGTGGGTGATAGTGGGTGATGAAAGAGGCGAGTGATGGAGCGTGAATGGGAGGCGGGCGAGTGATTGGGCATGAGTACCTGGTGACGGCTGGTAATTGATGTAGCCCGTGCTGTGCGCGTGCGATTTTGGACATTTATGGCGGGTACTAGGGATTATCCGGCGGTCGCGGAGGGGATGGGGGGGGGAGGCTTATGTGTGGCAGGAGGGTATGTGGGGTGTGTTGTGTGGGGTTTCCGGGGATGCGCGGTGCAGAAGCATACGTTTAGACTTTCTGGAGAAAGGTACGTGGCCAGGAGGATAACGCGGTGTAAAGAGCCCCCGGGCGCGGCGACGGGCGGTGGCGAGTGATCTGGTTGTTAGTTGTGCTTGTGAGGTCACTTTCAACTCGAATCCCTCTTCGGGGGTGTGCACGAAGATATAAACCGAAAAGAGGGCCAGGACGCGGCGGTCGTGCGGTTGTTCCGAAGATTGGAGTACCTTTACTCGGCGGGGTGCGAGGTTCCTAGCGCCTCCGCCGCCGGCGTGGTTGGGGTTTCACAGCTAGGTGGCGATGGGGAATGTGTGTGCTTTGGGGGAACACTCGCTGCGTGCGGGAGTGCTCTGCCACAGCTCTTTCTCTCTCTTCTCCTTTCCCCTCCCCTTGGGTTTGTATCATGTATGAACATAACGTGGCGTACGTATACACCTAACAAGAAACATACCGGAACCCGCCGACGTACACGTAACCATCCCCCACCCCCCCACCGACAACGCAGCCACTCATCCCGTACCTCACTGGCAGCGGGAATATAGCATACTCTACCACCCACATTGCGCGCAACAAGAGCAGCCAAGAAATCCCATCTCGTAGCCCACACTGTCGGCATGACAGAATTCCCCGATGCGCTAGCGTGTTTCTCCGCCGGGCGGCGAGTTACCCGCTCTTCGTACTATCTGCGGGCGCCCGCGTTAGCCGGGCGACGCCGTGGCAACGTGGCCCCAGCCCAAGTCAGCTGTTGTGAGGTAACCTTGCTCTCCGGAGGGAGTAGCGCGTTCGCGCCACGGTTGGGTTTGGCGCGGGGGTGTTGGGGTTGAATCTGTTGATTATGGTCAATCGTTGCTATGTTGTCCCCCGTAGTACACCGGCCCGGGTGTTTGTATTAAACTACAAAAATAAACCACATAGTTGTTTACTCTAAACCACACTTCACCAAGCAAAGATGTATTATATTTACTAATATACTGTATTTAAAAAACGGGTGAGGCGAGCTTTAAACCATAATCAAACTACACATAAACAACTTTAAACCATAGACAAACAATATATAAACTACACATAAACAACTTTAAACCATAAACAAACAATATATAAACCACACATAAACAACTTTAAACCACGTATTTGGCCATTATTTTAGGCGAGTTGATTTTTTTTGTGGTTTAAACAAACCATTTTTGATACTACTTAAACAACGCTTCGGTCAAATATATTCGAAATAGAATAATATTATGGATTATTAATTAGTTAATTAATACATGCTATTAAATACTGATTAATATATTGAATCGCAGATATGAATACCCAAACACCATCCTTGCTTATCCAAACGCTTGTATGATCTACCCAAACAATACCGCTGCTTAACCAAGCGCTTGTGTACCAACTAACTCCGTAAACGTATAAAATGAATATGTATCGCTTCCCATTTCATCCCGACGAACTCCGTAAACCTATGAAAGAAATATCTATTGCTTTCAATTGCATATTGTATTAGTAATTATATTCTGTTAGGGTGTATACTCGGGTTCAACTGACATAAAAGAAAAGAAACTGTTCGGACATTTTGACAGTTTGTATTGGATAGTGCGTCAACCCGAAGATATTGATGGTAAATCATTTAGAGCTAGAGCGTGAAGTTAGCCTGTAGTTCTTTGATCGTTTTTTTAGCCGCTATTAACTGAATAACCTGTTCTTTCTCAGCTTGGATAGCGGCAGTTTCTGATGCTTTCCCGCTGGGTTTAACAGCCCTCCCTGCTCTTGTGATCTTCTGTGTAGATATGTCTGAGTTGGGAGATATCGACGCCTCAGATTGTGTAGCGGACATTGGCTCAGTTACGGATGCAGAGCTCGGGAGTGGATTCTTCCTGGGACGCCCAGGTCTGCGCTTTATTGGCTCCTCTGATGCGTTTAAAACAACTTGCGGCGTGTTGGTTTTGCGTTTTCGTGCAAATCTTCCTGGTATGGGTTGAGTACTGGCTCCAATGAGGTCCTCAAGGTCCGGGAGAGAATTTGATACCTGAGAGTGAGACTCATTTCTCACAGCTGTTACTGTCTTCTTCCGAGGCTTATTGACAGGTGTCTTGATGGCCGGGGGTTTGTCCAAGCGTAATGTACCGGGGATTGACTTTGTCTGATGCACCGTTAGTATTGTTTATCGAGCGACGGTTAACCATACCTTTTTTTTCTGTCCCTTTTCCATATCATCGCGCCACAACTGTGGGTTTACTGGTAACTCGTCCTATTTCAGTTGGTTAGGGGTAGTAAACGCAATTTAGCTTTCTCACGCACCGTGTCCTCGGTATCAGATTGAAACCATGTATCATCCGCTAGTTTAACAAGTACACCTCCTTTCCCGCATATGTCAAGGAGCATTCCGTATTCCTCTGCCAAAGATATAGCTCTCCACACAAGACTTTTCCTTTGTCCAATAGCCGGTCGGTATAACGCAATAGTGTCATCACCCCAAGGAAGAACCTTGGAAACGGCTTTCTTGAAACCCTCAAAGTCGGTAGTTAACAGGAGTTTGATAGGCTGATGCCCAGCAATATAGATGGGAAACTGCTGAGATACCATCTCTTTATCTTCAGGCTTCGATTGATGTCCGTATGATTCCTGGGGATAACTATCTGGTATCTCGGGTGTATCTAAAATCATTAACATATGTCATTCAAGTTATCGGGTGACGTACCTGTTCGATCTATTCTGTCATATTGACTTGACATGCCCCCTAGTATAGGACTAATTGGCATAACTGCCGAACTATCCGTAATCGGTTTTGGCTGTTCACTAAGAGCCACGCGATCTTTTACACCTCGTGGTGTCGGTGCTACAATAAGATTATTCCGATTGCGTATTGAGGGACGCGTTGTGGACTCCATTTTATCGAGGTGTGGAACAGCTAGATTGGCACTCTTAGGAATCGTCCCGGGAGCCTTTGACCTATGCACAGGTCCCTGTGTATCCTCATCCGACAGATCCTCAACTACTCGACGACCCCTCCTACCGCTGCTAGTAGTAGTACTCAAAGTTGGGGGGTGAGCATTTTTTTTCTGCAGAGCGCGATGTCTGGCCTTTTCATTCCGTACTTTATCCAAGCATATTGCGTGCATCAAATCTTTGGTTAATGATTGCCTCCAATAGTCACCATACTGCGCCTGCATCTCAGGTGTTACCACTTTGATGAGTTTGTAAAGAATTCCTGAATGAAAATTATCAAAGCGCTTGTTAAGGGGTTGGTTACGCCTGGAACACAAAACCTTAAGAAAGTCACGATGCTCCCTGATAGCGGTCGCATCTGTGGGGTCCACACGCATCCGACGTGCCATTCCCGCACGATCTTTGTAGCCCCCATGTTTCTTCTTTGGTGCTAATTCGGGCTCGTTACCTGTCAAATCCTGTTCAACAGGTGTGACTGCCCATCTCCGAGGTGCTTTTGTAGGGGTTTCGGTCTCGCCATCACTGTTAGAGGTTGGGAAATCCAATCGGGTATATTTCGCGGGACGAATCTTTTCTGCAGGTTGAGATGAAGCCACCTGAGAGAACGCTTGTGACTCCTCCAAATCTTCCACATCTCCCACCTCTGAGGATCCTTGGGGCACCTGCGACTCTTGCATATCTGTACCTGCTGATTTGTCAATTCCAGATCTCATCACGCTGGTGGGTGAATTTTCGCAATTGTATGAAATGACGTACCCTTCTGCTGCTCCCAAAGCTTTTCCGCGAGCTTAAGCTGTTCTCTTATGAATGCATCACGGTCAGCCATGTTGATTTTTGTGTTCTCAGTGTAGATTGGATGGAAATGTTGGGAGCGGATAAAAGATGATTCGGTAGTTGAGAAGATACGAGAAGAAGATGGAGATGGAGAGGGAGAGGGAGATGGCTAGTTGGAGACAAGGTGCATGCGTGATGGGATGGAGATGGTTGGAGATGGTAAGAGAAACAGGGTGAAGGGGGGTGTTATTGCTAGAGGTCAGGGAATAGAAGAATTTTCGCTCTAGCCAAACTATATTTGGTTAGTTTATCGGTCAGCCTAGTCCTATAAAATGATAGTGCGGTGGACTAACCACGTCAAGATATAAAAATACAATATTATGAAAATAAACATGTATATCGAAGTGTGATATACTGTCGGTCGCCTTTTTTTATAAGACCTATGAGTTCCAAAATATTTTCCGCAGAGATCACAATTTTTGTTCCAAGTCCTGATCGGTAGAGGAGCCTTGAGTTTCCGTCTCTATGTACGGTAAACTGCTGAACATATGCTAAATATAGTATACGTGACTCGCTTTCTGGCCTCTGGGGAACGTTGTCGATGACTTCCGACTCATTTTGTGAATCAAAATCAACTGTAAAGAAGAACAAAACCTCGCCAAACGAGACATTGACTGAGCCATCCGCCAGAGTCATATTATACATGATCATAGAAGAATTTCTTGTAGAATTCACCCTTCTCATCTGAGAAGATGTGACACACCATTTCTCAACAGTGTTTTCCAGAAATGATGGTGTGTAAGAGGACCATTTCATACATTTCATCGGTAGATTCTCCAATGCTATTTGATGATCGAATATCTCGACGGAGTTTTGTTCTGAGGGAGAGACCCCCAACGTGAGTAAAGAGACATCATGTTGTAACTGAAAGTAGCCTTTAAGTGCCCGCCGTTGCCAATTACTTAAAACATGGGGCTTTGTGGGCCGGTGGAAGGTTGAAAAAGATGCATGTTGTATATCTTTTGAGTATTGATTTGCAGAAGCTTTGTCAAGCCGCTTTGTAAATAGGCGATGCAACAATATGTTTCCATCTTCATCCTCGTACTGTCCGCTTCCATCTGCTACATCATCCTCATTTGAAATCTTTGGTAAAACATATGGTAAATGATTGCGTCTTTCGTTCAAAACCATGGTTATAGCCATGTTCCGGTTTGCAGAGACCTTTGATTTTGCTGTAGCAGCTATCATGCCACATACACGTTCCATTGGCCACTGCCAATAGACAAACATAGGCCCTGCCCACCGTATTCCATTGGCAACGTGTAAGGCTTGATGGAATACGGGTAGACATGCTGGTAACCTCTCCCATTTCTGGCCATAGTACCACCGCTCATAGTATTCTATGAAGCGAGTAATGCGTGATTCTACCACGTTGATCTCAGCAAGGGTCAGTTCGTTCTTATAGCAAAGCTGTACGGCATCAATGATATTGATAAATTCCGAATAATCCTCTTCTGGCAAATTATCTTTGAGATATATGGGTGCAAGAAGAAAAGCAAATGTTTTCCATTCTGCAGCCTTGAAATGATGACAATGCTCTGTAAAGTCCCTGATAGGGTCACCAAATAACGCTGGAAAACTTGGCGCGCTGGCTAACATATCTCTGCCAATGTCCTCCCAGATATCCGGGGGTATGTTATACAAATCCCGTGTTTTGTGAAACTTTTTCATTGAGGGCTTTGCAGGAGCGGAGTCTTGATCATCCTGGCCAGCAGCATGTATCTGAGCCGTAGCTATATCTGAAAAGAATTTTCCCCGCCAGTGCTCTACTAAGTCTGGGATAATATTTTCCCACCAAAGATGCATGGCGTCGGGCGGGAAACTGCGAGGTAGGTCTATAGAGGAGAGCTGATAAAGGCAGGACAGGCCTTTAATGCCATATTTCTTTGCGACATTATCGTCTCCGGTTTGGACCACATGGGCAGCGATCTTGCGCGTCTGATCGTCATTACGCATTGGTAGTTGAGAGGGTTCATACGTTTTCCATTGTTGTGGTTGAGAGGAGTTGAGGGGAGGTTTCAATGGGCAATAGATACCGCGGTTATGGATGCCTTGTATATAACAATATGGGCAGTAACATGTGGTCCTATTACCTTTGAAGTTCATCAACTTCTCTCTCCCAGGCATGTCCGCTCCGATAACACAAATATGAGCTCTCAACGTAAAACGTTTCTGACGTGAGCTATTCCATACGCCGGGTATGCCTCTTTCCATCTGTAAAAACTCTTGAACCAAAGGAAACATGAAAGAGTCGATATCCTTTGGGTTATTGGGTCCCGGTATGAATCCAATAAGCAACATATTCCGGTGTTTGAAACGAATAGCCGGAGGTAGGTTCAGGTTGATCAGTAGGATAGGCCAAATACTGAAGTTTCGCCTAAACTTAAATACCTTAACGCCATCAGTACTGAGCATAAATCCAATGTCTGTATCGTCGGGAAATAGCCCCTTTTCTTTAAGGTTTAAAAACAGCTCAGCAGACCAGAAATCAGAAACTAACTCCTTGCCCCGGTCCCTCTCCACCTGATAGCGGTACTGAGTCATCAAAGCCACTCTCTTGGGGTTTGAGTAAGCCAATCGGAGTCTGTGGAGTACCGGTATATGACTATGAGTTGCATAAGGAATTTTGGTTTGGGGTTTCCACCGCGGATGATCGCAATGCATATGCTTATCGAGGTAAGGGTACATAGCAAACGACATGTGTGATTTAGGGCAGCAATCATATTGAATATCCTTGACCCCTGTTCTTTTCGCCATTCGGCTTCAAATGGTTCGATAGTCAATCAATTTGGTGTTAACACTCGAGAATAGCTCGCGAGTGTCTCGTGACGCCTCCCTAGATATTTTGTGTTTTAGGGAAATATCGTCCAGCGCTATCGATATCATTTCCTGATCGGTCAAAGGTTCACCAAATGGCTCAATATAATCAAAGTCATCATGTGGATTAGATGACAATAAACCGTCGTCACTTTCATCGTCTGTTGATAGATATTGGATATCTGGATCATCTACTGACCCAAGATCCACAAAGCCTCGCCAGATTTGACCTATGTCAGAGTTATCAGAGTCCGAGCCAGATGTAGCATCAGCTTCCTCAAAGTCAAGAGGTTCCAATGAATCGCTTTCATCAGAACCAGAGTCAATAGAATCAATAGTATCAACCATTTGTAGGTCAACCCCATTAAGCTCATTATTCTCAGATACATCTGATTCAGATTGTGAATATGGAGCATGTGAATTTGGTACAAGCAAATGTACGATGCCACTGCCAGTCTCTTCATTGGATCATCCAACGTTAACAGGTTGAGTCAAACAACATATAGGTATCCGATTCATACCTGACAATGAATGATTTTCAGTAAGAGGCGACACGTGCACCTGAGCTCGGGGCGAAGCCACCGGTGATACATAATCTTGATTCGGGGGTGTCTCTGAACTTGATCGAGGCGAAGGATCGGGGCTGGAAGACCGTAGTTCAAGACTGGGAGAGCGAAGTTCGGGATCAGGCAGGTGTAAATCGGGGGTATCTGAGCGACGTAGTTCAGGACTGGGGGAGCGCCTTTGGGCATGTCTTTGAGTAGCTTCGCGTGTAGCATGAAAGACATCCGACGCTTTGAGAGCCATATGACGTCTCCAAGACCTCCTGGACACAACTTCATGAACGGTACCCCCAAACATAGAACAATCGCACTGCATTTTGAATGGGGCCATAATGAAGGACAGATGATGTCGAAGGCGTTTGATGAGGCCTATGGTGTTGATAACCAATGGTTTTGGATCGATGAGCGTGAGGTGCATGCAGGTTCAGAAGAGACGAGACGGTAGTTTATGCGCATGGTTGATAAGTGCACCCAGCTATGTGGACCCTAACCCTGAGCAGCTTTGATAGAGCTAAGAGCTCTAAGTCCTGAACTGAGCTCGAGCTCAACACCCCACCACACAGTTCATCAACACACATTTCCAACGACAATCAAAAAAACATCTGTGATGATGGAGGCGGAGGAAGAAGGGAAAGAGGAGGGGACGATTGCGGTTCTTTTGGGAATAGAGACTGCACAGGTCATGATACTTGTTGAACCGATGACACCAATCTTGGTTCCTGAGTCTGGTACAGTTCGAATCGTGTGTAAGTATAATCAGTCACAACTTGTATCCATATTGAGAACTCTTACTGACACGGGTACCTCAGATGTCTCGGAGTCACTGCTATTCGGATGCAGACCTCGTGTTGGACTATCATACTGGATCATCAGGTTACGATCCACCGAAAACGTTCCAACCATCGGCGCTCAGCCAAGAAGATACTACACTGCGGACTCACCGTACTGTGGCTGGGTCAGGCGCCGTGATAATGAGGAAATCATGCACTACTTGCGCAATGGGAGAAGAGTTCGTGGAGTTGTCGCTGAAACAGAAGCATTTCGGTGGATGAACGTTCAGTGTTACTGGGGCGAGTTGGATTGGCATGTTCATGATATTAACAATTGTATGGAGTGCTAAAAGATGATGAAATAAAATAATCCAACATTGGTTCCTGAAATATATACGCAAATGAGGTGTGGTTTATATATATAATTTAGTTTACTCACAACACGTGGTGTATTTAAACTATGGGGTATATGTAAACTATGGGGTTTATGTAAACTACATTAGTAATATATATACATACATATTTATATATAGCTAGCTAGCTAGCTAGGGCGCAACCGAGAGAGGTGTGGTTTAGTTAAACCATTTTCGTGGTTTAGGCAAATAGTATCGTGTTACAGGAAACACAAACACTGCTCCTAAGTCAAGGAATAAGGATAATACGAGTGATGGGGTGTGATGCGAGTACGGTCGGGTAACGAGGGAACAAGCATAGAAAGGTACCGAGGGGTGTGGGGGCACCGGGTGCAACCACACTAGTATTAGGCTGTTGTGAGGGCACGCTTACTATTGGGTGTCTCACCCGGAACGGAATAGAAGCGGGGCTTATGGCTGCAGGCCATTCTACTTAAGGAAGTAGCTCTAGGACAATAGCCTGATACAGCTCGGTTACTGGCAATTGCAGGGGTTTATGGTTACGTGTCGGAATTAGAATGAAGGAACGGAACTATGCGGGGGCGCTTTTCTATTGAGGTTATCTTCGGGTTGATTGTCTTATTCTATTATTGTTATCTCATTAGTATTAGAAAGCGGGCCTTGGCATAGGTTCCAATATGTATAAATAGGGAAGGGTTCCGCCTCGTCTTAGTGGCATCATCAGTCACTCAGCGAGCGGAATCCGGTTTACAATATTACAAGTTTAAAAGCTACAGAACTATCGCTTAGCATTGGCATTTCCCCAAACACTATATTGTACCTTATCCACTACTCTATTATTTTATCGATCGCATATTATCAACGTCCCGATAAGACAACTACTTGCTTAGACCAATACTTGAGAGTATTTTGTTTGTGGCGGATAGTCACCGTGCGCTCAAGTAAAAGAATAAGAAAGTAGTCTATTAGAAGGACTCTTTGATACCGTATGCATCCCCAAGTAGCAACAGCAGCTATCAACAACTTTACTTGCACTACCTCTTTTGTCGTTCGCAGAGGCAGTGCCGAACACCTCTATTGCGGATACCTTGAGTACGCCGGGTTTTTTGCCGAAGCAGGTACTACTTGCACGTTCGAAGAACACGACCCGGAGATCCTCAACTATCCCGAACTGTTCCCCATTAAAGTCACCCTCAGTCAGCAATCCCACGGATTAGCTCACTCCGTCCCTTGGTTCGTCGTTCAACCCTGGTGCAGAAGACAGCCACAACTCAGAATCGAGCAACTTAGCGATGTCAAGGGGTCATCAGCAACAAATGGAAGAAGACTACAACATGGAGAGCTCGATCACCGTGAGAGATCGAGGTATAGTCGAGACCCAGGCGAGACAGCGCCACAGGAGGGATCTGGACATGCCGATCAGCGACCTCTTCAGATGGACTCAGCCGGCCGAATCCTATGGCCAACCCCGCTCCCGCAGGCAAGGGGACTATCGAGATTATTCCCCGTACAAAACGCCAATCAGAGAGAGATCTTCTATTCCGAGGCCCTCGGTCCCCAGAGTAACGGACGAAGACGAGGATACGGATATGGACGTAGAGGAACGCCGTATCGAGCACCCCTTTGGAGAAATCATCGGGCAGGAAATCGAACGGAGAGGAGCCCCAGTGGTTCAGCAGCTGAGCCACGGACTTGGAGACCTCACTGTGAGCGTCCAAGACCTCCCCGCAATCAGGGAAATTACTCGGCAGCACACTGCGCAGCTTACCCAGCAGCACGAGGAGCAGACCAGACTCATCCGCGAGTTGCAGATGAAGTTCAACCAGGACCAAAAAGAACGGGAGCGTCGCGAAGGGATTATCCTCGCGCAAGTGCGGGCAGAAACAGCCGCAACTACTACGAATCTCGGTCAAGTCTTAGAACAGATCGTCAACACTACTAGGGTCCACCAACAGCGACAGGAAGAGCAGGCTCAGCATATAACCATGCTGGCTGATTGGATCCAAAAACTACCAAAGGAAGGACCAGCCCAAGTCCCAGAAGGCGTGGAAGCCACACTGGCACAATTAGAAAGGACCATGCAGCAGCAGGCCTCACTGGTAGATGGGTTCTCCGGAACAAAGACTGCTCTAGAGGAAATGATGGAGCAGATGAAGGAAACAGCCCGTAAAACGGCTGAGGAATGACCACTGGCCCCAGTAACAGGAGGCGGCGGATTAGGCCCACCTCCCCAACCACCCCCCAAGAAACCACCAGTCGCCCCTCCAGCTGGCTCCGAATCCAGTGAAGACCTCGAAGACCAAAGCCTAGCACCAAGAAGCGACCCTAAGCATAGCAGCCAACAAGGGAAGCAAGGAGGTCAAGGAGCACAAGGTGGGGGTAACGGGAATGGCAATAAGGGAGGTAACGCCCCGGAAGCACCAGGATCATCCCCATCGGATTCCTCAGATTCGGAAGGCGAACACCGCAAGCGGCTGGAACGTAAGAAACGAAGGCACGAAAGGAGGCGCCAACGAGAGCGAGAACTCTCGCACCCCCCTCGCGCCACCATAGGTGATGCACCCAAAAAAGCCAACATTCCCTTCTCCGGAAGAGCCGATCAAGACGTAAGACTCTGGATCGATCAGATCGAAATCCTAATCAGTCTCCAGAAAAAGGTCCAATGGGATAACGGCACTAAGATTATGTGGGCATCCCTCGAGTTTACCGGTAGCGCGGCGAACTTTTGGCGGAATTTTACGGAGAGGTTAGCTGTGGATAGCAGTATCGGAACCTGGGAATGGTTCAAGCAAGAACTCCGTACTCAATATGGCAACCGCACGAGTCAGGAACAGGCCAAGCAGAAGATGGACAGACTCCGGCAAACTGGTCCAATCGATGACTACATCAACGAGATGCAGAACCTAGAATGGGACGCACGAGTTGAACCAGTTGTCATGAGATCCATGATCCTACCAGGAACAAACTCCTCGCTGGAACAACGGCTCTCCAATGCGATTGAGGAGCCTAATGATTTCGTGGACTGGTTAGCCTGGGTACGAAAAGTCGGACGCAAGGACCACGAGGTGAAGGCTCGGAAAGAAATCCTGCGAGGTAAAGACCCTGTGAAACCTCGCGAGGAAAAAACGGAACGGCGGAAATCGCGCAATAATGCAAATCCTCGGAAGACCTTCCCCGCATCAGCCAACAACTCCAAGACCTCGGATGACTTAGGTGTTACCAAGGAAGAGAAGGAGAAATAGCAGAAGGAAGGAAAGTGCTTCCGTTGTGGTAGACATAACCACTTCGTGAAGGATTGCGTGGCGACGAGCAAGGTCAGGTTAACGAACCTGAAGAGGAAAGAGCCTCCTTCCGGGAGGAAGGACCATGGAAGGGAGGGGGATAAGAAACGGAAATTGGGGCCACAAAATGAGGCATTTAGGGCAAGGATTATGAATTTGGAGGACTAAATTGATTGGGTATTTCTAGTTATGCGGTGTTTTATTCTATGTTGGGTTATGGTTTTTATCTTTTGGGAAAAAGACTTTTCTAAGGGATCGGATTATGTTATGCTCTATCGGTTTTGTTATTTCGCAAATTCAATTCTATTACACACACTCTGAGGATGGGGTTACACCCCAAAATGTCTGGGGCGTAAGCGTGGTACCATGATCTTCATCAACGCTCGAATCTTCTATATAAACTCCCTCGCCCCGCGCTCAGAACAAGAACTATCAACATCGACCCACTTATACCCAAGAACAATCTACCTTACCTTACACTTTTTAAACATATGAACATGTCTTCACATCACCAAGAAACCCGCCTTGAGATTGAGATCTCTTGGAACCACCCCGCAACTAGTACCCAACATGCAGAAATAGTCAACGCACTCCTAGACAGTGGAACGGAGGACTGGGTTATGTCCTGGCACTGTGTCCACCGTCTCAAGATCCCAACTCAACCTCGACCCAAGCCCCTCATCATCAGACAGGCTGACGCGACCCCTATGCCTAACTCCGGTACTCACATCACCCAATCCCTTACCCTCCGCGTCGGCAACCATCTAGACAGAGACATCGTCTGTGAGGTTGGCTCATTCGCAGGAGAAGACCTCGTTATACCACATCGATGGCTCAAGGAGCATCAACCTACCATACATTGGGGACAGAACAAGGTTACCTTCGACAACATCAATTGTCAAGTGAAGGGATGCTTCAGGACCATGTATGATATATATGAAGAAGACCCAGAGGAGCTGGTCATCAGGCTGTTGAGGTCGTCACCCGAGACACAGATGATGATCGAGCAACACCCCTTCTGGGCAAGGGCATTGGTAGGCGAGGCTCTCGCTAGTGCTATACCGATGGAGTACCAGGACTTCGTCGATGTCTTCTCTAAGGAGGGAGCCGATCGACTACCTGATCACTCTGAATGGGACCATACCATTCCCCTTATAGAAGGAAAGCAGCCTCCATGGGGACCGATCTATGCGCTCTCCCCAGTGGAACAAAAGGCACTTCGGGAATACTTGGACGAAATGCTAGCCTCTGGCAAAATAGTCCCCTCCACCAGCCCGGCAGCAGCACCGATCCTGTTCGTGAAGAAAGCCAATGGAAAACTGAGGCTATGCGTAGACTTTCGTGGCTTAAATGCTATCACGGTCAAGAATCGCTACCCCCTTCCACTCATGACAGAGTTGGCCGATTCGACGAAAGGAGCAGAGTTCTTCACCAAGATAGACCTGAAAAATGGCTACAACTTAATTAGGATTGCTGCTGGCGAGGAATGGAAGACAGCTTTCAGAACGAAGTACGGCCACTTCGAATATAGGGTAATGCCTTTTGGCTTAACCAATGCACCGGCGTCGTTTCAGGTCATGGTCAATACCATATTCAAGGATCTTCTAGATCAAGGCGTAGTAGTCTACTTGGATGATATTCTAATATATTCAAAGACTAAGGAAGAGCATACGACTCTTGTGAGAAAGATATTGG